GCGGAATACAGCTTTTAAGCGTTCTAAATTTTGCTTGAATCGGTATGAACCGAGCTATACTCCTGCAATCTTCAGCTATATGAACACTCCAGCGTCTCTTTGACCTGACCATATGGACCTTAGCAATGTTGAGGATGACAACGACGATAAATCTGATCTTTAAGTCGCTTTATAGCAACGCGTCATCCTTCGCTGATATAAGTGCTGGTTTACGTGAAAAACACTAAGAACTTACGCCCAGGATGCCCATGGCGCAAGCAGCGCCAGACTTACATGGGTCAAATGCGTTCAAATAGCCATAACTCTGTTGAGGAATGGAAAAACTTTAATTCCCAGCAGGTGCGGGGTGCACTACGGAGGATATACAGTGTTATATGGCACCTCTGGGAGATAAAAAGGGTTTATATCTTCACAAATATGCGCTTTATAGCACAAAGCGTGTTTGTAAGTCGGGAACGTTTGTAGTGGAAGCAACAATATTCGGATTTGATAACCCTTTATAATACTCTTCAATTTCGGGGCATCTATGCCCATCGTCGTTCCCTGAAAGAAAGTCAGCCGTTTGCTGAAGCGCTGATGCGCTGAAGCGAAGGATAGTGAGACTATCACCGTTATTCTACTGACATGAACGTGTGTCGCATCGCCAAAGATTAGTATCAATATAAGCGTAAAATTCTTGTACTTTGATAGCGTAAAACGCTGTTTAGTCTCTGACTTATACAGGAGAGATGATATCATTTGGAAATTTCATGGCTGCAACGCTCGAGCTATGGATTGAATGGTGGACAAATATCTCAGACGCCAAGATTAAACTCGAGATTTTTAGCGGAGGTTTAAAATTTATGGACCCACCCCTGCTACGAAAGAAAAGTGCCATTGGCGTGAGCCACTGCCTGGATTAAATAGTGTGCTAAGCTTTGGTTAGTCAGTCTTTCTTGGCGCCAAACATGTCAATGACGTTAGTCCCGAGCTAGAATCATCGATGTATGGTGACACGTCACCTATTACGTTGAGTGGTACTCATATCTAATTGTAAATCGCTAAATGGTGTAAGCATGAATGGCCTAGGGTCGAGACATATCGAGCAGATTTTGTATGATGTGTGTGGAGTAGCACGTATAGACATAGTGAGTGATGTGTTCGAGTTTTGAAACACCTCACTAGATGTAGGTCTAGACGTTAGCTCTCGTATAGAGCTCGTTGTGGTAGCGATAAACCATTATAAACCCTTGTTTGAACCTCTAACAGGTAAAAGATCTCTTCGACGAGACGACAGCTACGTCAGACAGCAACTTCGAAACCCAAATCATCTATGTCGTTGCATAGTGACAATATTATTAATACGCTATATACACTTGTAAATGAAGTGACTGGTCACGTTAATGGAAGCGCTACGCTTGAGGTTTTTCCATCTTTATATCCTCTGTTGGCTAGAAGAAATGTATGATGGTGGGTTTATCCAAGCCTTTAGGACACTCAACTTATCAAACCTTGTGATTGTTCGTCTCGACGCTAAGTTGGGCTCTTTATCACTCATGAAAGATTTAGTCCTTGAGGACACGAAGATGGCAATCGGTGGCAGGAGTGGATCTACGATAATCAAGTATATCATAGATTCCTTCTATTCTTTGGATAAATAATTTCAGGCCGTGGTGTGTAATGAATCACAGTCGCTCCCTCCCGATTGAGTTGTTCATCATGAAATTGATCTGGTTTCTTGGTACGAAGTAGTGTTATACACGGCAGTGGTCCTTGCCAGAGGAATCGTGTGACGTCATTGAAGACTTATTTTGTGCTAAGAACGCTTAAGAACTTGTCTGGGAGAGTAAGTCTCCCATTATACTCCACACTTTGTGTTAAGAATCCGAACGACAAGTGGTACGTTGCTCATTCTTACAACAAGCCAAATGCTGCCACCCCATACTGGCTCAAGTAATTATTCCTCGAAATGATGTGTTTCAAAAAGCCATGGCTGAATGTAACAGCTTCAGTGCACTCAACCCATCGATGTTTATTACTTATTGCTCATGCGATACAGCGATACCTCGCTAGCTGTAGTCAGATCTTCAGAAGGCATGCTTTGGGAATGGTTTGTGACGTTCCGAAGGGTGTCTAAAGCCCCAGTTACATTAAATCGTCTCGTGACGCAATTGTTCAGACCTCATCGAGGCTATGCACAGGCGTACTTTATTGACAATTTTGGTCCATAGTCATGCATCATCTTGTCGGTATAACATCGAACATTTTATCGGACATTTACGATCACCGAATGAGGGCATGCGCACGAATAATCTGTTTAAGAACTCATTCAAATGCTTATTTGACGCTAACAAAATCCCTTTTCTCGGATGCTTTATTAGTAAGCAAGGATTGCGATCGGATCCCGCTAAGGTCAAAGACAGACTTGACTAGCCGGTTGCTAAAAACAAAAAAAACTTACTTAAGTGGCTCGGCCTTAACAATTAATTTCAAAAATTTAGCGCGAATCACGCGGTCATGGCTCGGCCATCACCCAACCTCCTTAAAAAGGATATGAATGGTGCTGGACTAGCACACAAAAATATGATTTTAAAGCTTGTTGAGGACGGTCTCTTTCAGGCTTCAGTTTTGATCTGCCATAAACTTCGCGTCCCTTCAGTATCGCAGGTGACGCTTCTGATTTTGCAGTGGATGTGCATTATTGCAAGATGACCCAGATGGTCATGAGTTTGTGGTGTCGTATGCGTCTCTCCAGCTGAAGGCTGCAGAGAAGAACTATCATACCCATGAAAAAGAGATGCTTGCATCTAAGTAATCTCTCGTCAAATTTAGAGTTCATCTACATGGCTGAAGCCTTTTTCGATATGTACCGATCATGCGTCGCCAGGCACTGCGACACAGTCGCCTCGTCTCTCTCAGAGAAAAGCTCGTTGGCTTTCGGTCGTTGTCGAGTACAACTTCGATGTTAAGTACAAACCAGAAACGAAAAATTTGTAGGTCGATGCGTTATTGCGCAGACTCGACTAGAAGCTTGCTCATTTTATGACTTTGTCGTCGTCGATCATTGACCTAATCCGTACGACTTACGCCAACAATATATATATACTGTGTGGCTCTACTAATTTCTCTCGGGGGTAAGGAGTTTATAGACTCAGACATAGAATTGTCAGCACGATTACGTTCGAGGCTTCATCGACTTCCATTGATCAAAGCCTGTTGTGCTACTTCACGGATGTTCAAGATTTTCCGCGTACCGTAGTTCCAAATTAAAAAGTATTAAAGTATCGTATACCTCGTTTATGTCCTATGATACTGCGTTACGCGGCCATCTCGGTCACGAGAAGACCTACGGCTCTGTAAACCAATCGTAATGTTGGCCCAAACTCTACAAATTGGTCAGCACATATCTGAGACGCCTTAACAAGGCACGTGTCTCGGACAGATCAAAAGGGAAAATGAACTTTATTTCTTATATGTGAAAGGACACCTTAGCCTAAACGTACTTAATCACACAATAATGCTCTTGATTGGTACCCTTTAACTTGTATCTCGTTGCTGACACACGTCATCCTCCCGAAAACTGATATATGTTCTGGTATCATTTCTAATGGAATCTCATCCTTGGTGTAAACCACACATGTTATGCCAGTCATCGACCGACGTGTTGTTCCGTTACACGTACTGTGTCAGTACAAGCATGTGTGCCCTGTCACAGCGAGAGAATACCCTTTGCGCGTAGTCGAGCAGTGTGCTAAACTACTACGCCTTACTGACCCTCAGGTTTGTTACTTGGGGGACGCAGCTCTTGCGGTCCCACCAATCTTAAACCGTGTTATTCCGTGGTTGCAGACGGCCACGAACGCTTTACGGTATGAAACTTTCCCATTGTCGTCTCTGTACGCCATATCACATTAGGTTATTTGAAATAGCCACCACGATCTTGCCTGTGAGACTCCACACCCGGGCGGGCTCACCGGACTGAATAAGCAAATACTGACCGTATTGACCGAGCATGCTGTATAAGGCTATACGCACGATAACGGCCTTTTGTCATTTTCTTGTTCAACGCCGTTGTTCTATGCTTGCTCCAAACTTATATAGCTGTCTAAAATCGGACTCTCGAAATCGATGGGGTCGCGCCAATTGCTTTACTATCTTCTGTATTGCAATGAATGTAACTCGAATTTATGATTGCGCGGTCGAGCAAGGAGAGAACGAATGATGGATGAAGCGATGTCAGATGAAACATATCCGTTTGTTACCGGTTTGCCACTGCTTAACTTTGCTCGATCACTCACTTTTGTTTTCAACAAGAACTCTTTGATGGCAGGAAAGCAGGATTTCCAAGAGACACGCGGGATAACAGGAAAAGTAGCAAGTATCGTTAAAATGCAAATTTTTGCGATACCTGCTGACTTTGTTGGCATTTGTTGCTACAATGTATCGCTTGCAGGGACACGCGATGCTCATCGTTGCTAAACCTGGCCGAGGGTTCAGAAAACCGCTATTTAGATTTGACAAAGTAGTCAACGTTGACGCGCTCATCCATACCACATGCAGTTGAACCCCTTTTAGCTAATACGATGGGCCGATCGAAAAAGGGAGGTAGTAAAAGTTATAGGTAGGAAGGATTGGGTAGTCGCGTGATCTTCTTACAATTGTACAACATTGAAGAGTGCATGGTTGCCACGTTGGGTAGGTAACATTATATTAGCTAGAAGGGTTATTAGCTAAGAGGGGTTCTACTGTACAGAAGTTTGTAGTTTTGCAGGGGACAACTGAGGCCGCCACACCAGCGCAATTCTCCCTAACATTTATCCTCCGCTTACGCCATACTACAGCTCTCTAACGTGGGCCGATGGTACCGACCGACATGATGCGAGCGACAAGCGCCATGTGAGGGTAACATTGCAACTTCGATCTGCATGACCGACGTAATCTATGCTCAAAGCATGCACTATATTGAGAAATGCGGAAGACCTCCGGTCGTATCAGTAGCCCTTTGGCTGCAATATAGCAATCTACGAGGGCAACGTCATCTTCTCGCCGTGGTATTTGCTATGTGCATATGAGCAGAACCGATGAAAAGCAAAACGACAGCAGCAATCAGTACCAAATCTCCATCACTGCAAAGCCAAACGAGCGCGTACCTGACAGCGTAGTAGTAGAAAAAGTCCACGTAGAGTGCTGTCTGCACCATACCGGCGATAAACATGAGCCAAATAAAGTGGTACGACGCCTCGGTCGCAGCGCGATAGATCCAGTTGACTACGTAGCATCCGCGATAGATTCCGAGCAGAACCACATAGTTGCCCGTGAGGTTCTCGACTTCTCCGTGACGTTGCAGCAGAATGAGCTGCGGGATGATCGCGACGGCTTCGAGGTAGATGGAGAAAGTCCACAGGATCTCCTTGACCTCAAACTGCTCGTTGAACACGAGCGCCAGCAGCGCACAGGGCAAGACAGCAAACTTGACGTGCAAAAAGGCGTCGTGCGACTTGTCGTACGTGCTGCGGAATGGCTCTTTGACCCGGATGACGTAGATGATGGCGCCCGAAAAGAGCAGAAAGAGCAGCTTCATGATCGTGTTGTACAGGCTCACAAAGTAGAGGAAAAGGTCGACGTAGCGCGTGAGGAACACGAGGAAGAAGAGCTCCTGTGTCTTGAGCGAGATGCCTGCAGAGGGAGCAGTTCACGAGGGTGTGTTAGTTTGCACCGGTGCGTTGCCAGTCAACAGAGGAGAGAGAGAGAATGCACGAGAGGGGAACAGGCGAGAGAGGGGGGAGAGAGGGGCGAGCCACGCACCATTGGCCGAGCGAGAGGCCAGCAGCTTGAGCAGCAGCACCAGGAAGCTCGCCAGGTGCGCCATGTCGCCCACCAGACGGAAGAGATTCATCGTGACCAGATCCCGCGGAGCTCGAGCTGCAGTGAGAGTGCTTGGCTTGTGCTTGACCGAATAGGGACTTGGCGACCCCCCTCTGTCTTCTTTTAGTGACAGTATAGTGACACATGACGTGGCTTCTTCAATATGGCTACACGCTCGATGAGATCCGTAGTACGAGATTGTAAACCGAGCAGTATATGTTCGATTGCTGCCGTTGCTGCTGTACGCACGGGCAAATGAAGCCCCACGGCTGGCGCTACACGACAGATACGATATGTACCAAGAGATCGGGCGGTAGCATTGTGCGTAACGAGCGTCTACTGAAAGCGTGCAATATGATCACAAACGTCACGGTGTCGACGTGAGGGCTGAACGTCAGAGAGAATCGCCGCAGGAGCAGTCACGGAGGATATACAGGAGCGTGCAATGCCGCATACTGGCTGGACCCGACAATTTCTCGATGATGAAAATGGATCTGGACATAGCTGGATCGGTACAGCTGATACCAGGCAAGTGGCAGTTGCTGGTTCATTTAACGCATCGCGACGCTGTGCCAGGAACGTAGCTCGGGCTTGCCTACAACGTCACGATGACTACATGCTACAGTTATGGACACATTCGGTGATGTCAAGTCAAACGCATCGGTGTGTGAACGGGAGAAAAGCAGCCGTTGACGGACGGCGAGTCTCACTGCTCCGACCATTTGCCATCAAGTTTTACGGTCGATCATCGTCGAGATCGCAGTCACTGCATCAAGCACGACGTCTGTCTTTTCTGATGCGCGCGTGGTGTGAAGAGAATGTACCGCCCATCAATTGAAGAATCTGCACGGCCGAGTACGAGACGTTGCTGGATCTTAGGGAGTGTGTGTGTGTGTATACGACAAGCTGATGGCATTGTGTCCGCTCACACTCGGCGCCGACGTACGTTGCAAGACATCGAATGGCGACACTGTCATTGATACGGTGGACGCTGCAGCTTAGCGTATCTCGCTCACAGTATTTCCACATTTCCATTCTGTCGCCACGTATCGATAACTCGTACTCGTTGCAGGCGGAAGAAGCAACGTTGGCGTGTCTGAGGAAACCCCTGCGCGATTATGTTCGTCGTCGACAAGGCGGTCACCGAGGTCCAGCGTCAAGACTCTGTCTCCGCATTCCTTCGAAAGCGTCAGAAACGCGACTCGTTGTGCGACACTAACTCTCAGATAGACTTTGCACACTGTCGCAACAGACTGTGGTCTCGTCTGTCTGACAAGGGGATTCTCGTGAACTTGCCACGTCGAACATTGTGTGAGCCCACTGCTCCTGAAAATCTCCGCAAACAACAGGCTCCATCCAGCTCCCAGCAAGCTGAGATGCACATGGAACACAGACGCCGGGACAGGTGTTCGTTGCTCGGACCCTTTGGTGTCTGCGATGGGGCAAACATTCCCTCAGTCACGAGACTCGTCTGATCGCCAGCGCGTCGTCACGGCAACTCACACTCGTCCAAGTGCTCAAGCACGCGGTAGCATGAAAAGACGCAAACTCATGGGACTCACTACACCACACGACTGCGTCGCACAAGCGCGACGCCACTTGGCAGACGCAACCCAACTCTCGCTACCGATCACTACCGAAGCTTCAACCGCCACGTCCCAACTGCATACCGGTCAACGCGTCTTCAACACGTACATCGCTTAGCGTGTAGCGATTGATACCAACAGGTGTACACCACTCATACAATAGCTCTATTTGCCTTGGCGGATTCAGGCGTCGCCTGTAACCGCTTTTATCAGTGGGTTTGTAACTGCCGATCCGCTCGCTTTTGCAAACGTGGTCAACAGTGGAAACCTTCGCGTGGGCGGTCTTGTATTAAAGTGTCGGCGCTACACGCGGTTGGGTCTTCTATTCAGGTGTCTGCACCGCAGACATGATACGTCGTGCATTGCGCGTGCGCCGTGCGTGTCCCGCGACGGCGCCAGTCTTCCGTCGGTGGAAGAGTGAGGAGACTGCGCCGCCCGTGCAAAAGCTGAGCGATGAGATCCGACGTTCGCAAGAGGAAACGCGCCGCGTGCTGCTCTTGATCCGCACGTTCAAACAAGTACGGTCGATCCTTGCTCCATCTCTCTCTTTGCTTTTCTTCCCCGACGCGGGACCGTATACACGTGCGAGAGTGTATACATTGTATACCACTCATCGTCGCTTCTTCCTTGTACTCTGTACGATACCTGTCGCCAGTATGGCCACTACGTCGCTCAGATTGACCCTCTTCAGAAAAGTGAGAGCTCCGAGAACGTGCCATCTTCGCCCATAGACGTGTTCGCTCACGTACGTCATTTTTGGACTGGTGCAGGGGAAAAGCTGCCAGAGCTCGAGCGGTGGATTAACGGCGATCGGTGGGTCGAAACGCCCTTTTTCGACGAGGTGAACCTCCGCAGCCTCGCTGTGTCCAAGAACCTACTGGAGCTCACGACTCACGGTACGAGCCTTTTGGTCAGTAATCCAAAGGCAAGAGGGGCGAGCAGAGATACGAGAGAATGACAAAGTGACTGTCGCTTCGCCGCTCGCTCGCTCTCACGGTCTGACTTGAGCTGTTTTGTGTGGCTGCAGGTTTCACGGCCAGCGACTTGGATCGCGAGTTTTTCATTGGCCAGGACCTCTCTATTGGTCCAGTCGCAACACTCCGAGAGGTGAAGCCATCGAGTCTCGATGATTGAAGACGCGACAACATTTGTCTCACCAGCGGTATGGCCATGTCGTGTGTGGCGTTTAGATTGTGACGGAGCTCCGAGAACTCTTTTGTGGACGCATTGGGATCGAGTATCAGCATTTGCGCAATCGGGATGCCGCGCTCTGGATCCGTGAGCGGCTGGAAATGTACAAGGTAGAGAGCGGAGCGAGAGAGAAAGTTGCAGCTGGATGAGTGAAACCGTTGTGGACGCTCATGGTGTCCTTTTTTCTACCTGTTGGTGCAGGAATACCACTTTGGCGATGAAGAAAAGATCGATATGCTGCGTCAGATGGTGCAGGCTGAGCTCTTTGAACGCTTCCTTGGACGGCGTTTTTCCGGAGCCAAGCGCTTTTCCATCGAAGGCGGCGAGAGCTTGATCCCTGGTCTTTGTGAACTCCTCCAGAACGCTAGTGACCACGGCGTCGAGGTCGTCCAGATGGGAATGGCTCATCGAGGACGTCTGAACGTCCTCGCGAATGTGCTACAACGACCGCTGCGCTCGATCATTTCCCAATTCCAGCCATACTTGCCAGATGAACCTGACTACCCAAACAACTCGGATGACGTGCGGTACCACCTCGGAACATCGTCTGTCATTGAGACACGCAATGGCAAGCATTTGGAGATCAACTTAGTGGCGAATCCGTCGCACCTAGAAGCGGTCAATCCGGTTGTGCTTGGTCAGGCGCGAGCTTGTCAAACGCAACTAGGCGATGATGGAAGTCGGGTGATGCCGATCTTGATTCATGGAGACGCTTCGATGTTCCAGGGGTCCGTCCGGGAAACGCTGGGATTTAGCTCGCTCGAAGACTTTCGAACGGGTGGAACGATCCACGTGGTTGTTAACAACCAAATTGGCTTCACCACACTGCCGAAGAACGCAGATTCTGCCGTGTATTGCACGTACGTTGACGCGCCTACTTGCATAACGATTATGCGTGGCACCTCATCCTTGTGGCTTTTACTTACCTAAAATCTGCTCCATGTTGTTCCTCTGATCAGTGATGTTGCCAAGGTCTCCAGAAGCCCAATCTTCCACGTGAATGCTGATGACCCGGAGGCAGTTGCAAAGGTGATGAGAATTGCTGTTGAATTCCGTCAACTGTTTCATTGTGATGTGACCATCGATTTGGTGTGTTACCGTCGCCACGGCCACAATGAACAAGATTCACCGGAGATCACTGCACCAGTCATGTACCACTTCATCAACAAACACCCCACCGTGATCAAATTGTATTCTCAAAAGCTCATGAGCGGAGGTATCTTGTCAGCGGATGACTTTGCGAAAATGTGTTCGTCGTTTGAGAACCACCTTGCCTCCGAGTATGACCACTCACGCGAGACGCATTCCGGTTGGGACAATTCTGGTGACACATCGTGGAAAACTGAGTCGTATACGGATACGAGCAGTCTCAACACACAGCACGCGAGTAGCCTCTCAAGTGCAGATGATACTGGTAGGAAGCAAGTTTACGACCGATCAAAGGGCGTTGATCAGAAGTTTCTGGAAAAGCTAGGCAGTCAGCTCTTTCGGATCCCACAGGGGTTTTCAGCTCATCGGAAAGTTGAAGCCATTATGAACAACCGGCTACGCGCAGTCGAGACCGGTGCTCGAGTTGATTGGGCGACAGCAGAGATGCTAGCATTTGGTTGCCTGCTTGTGGAAGGCATTGATGTGCGGCTCAGTGGACAAGACTGCGAACGCGGCACCTTCAACCAACGCCACGCTGTTCTGTACGATCAATTTGAAGCTCTCTCCGGGCGCAGCTCGTCGTACACGCCACTGAATAATCTTGACATCGATGGATTGAGAGATACGCTCCTTATGACGGAGTTAGAAGATGTGCCACGAGGACGCTTTGACGTCGTAAACAGTCCCCTTAGTGAAGAGGGGGTGCTTGGCTTCGAATACGGATACTCATTGCAAACTCCGATGGGCTTGACTATATGGGAAGCTCAATTTGGCGACTTTGCGAACGGTGCTCAGACAATGATTGACACCTTCATTGCAACGGGTGAGCAGAAGTGGCAGCGACAATCGGGTATCGTGCTGAACTTGCCGCATGGCTTCGAGGGTCAAGGACCAGAGCACAGCAGTGCACGGATCGAGCGTTTTCTTGATTTGGTCAACGAAGACTGTGACGAGTTTACAACGAAACAAGACGTCGATGCTGCAACAACACGAGCAAACATCCAGGTGGTCATTCCGTCCACGCCTGCCCAATACTTCCACGCCCTTCGTCGCCAAGTATCTTCTAGCCATCGCAAACCGCTGATCATGTTCACCCCAAAGTCGCTACTTCATCACCGCCCATGCAACTCGGATTTGCTGGACTTGACTCTGGGCACGTCATTCCTGCGCGTGCTTCCACCACACCCCGACGATCAAGCCACGATGGTGAATGATGACAAGGTAAGCTACGAACGGTATCGTCCATGTGGATGCCCAACGCGCTTTCAGAAGTTTGTCGTCCAACCCCTCTCTCTCTGCTGTTCTCTTGTTCAGATCCGCAAACTGGTGCTCTGCTGCGGCAAAATCTACTTTCCATTGCGTCATAACATGCGAACCCGCGGGATTCATGACATCGCTACTGCTCGGCTCGAACAGCTAGCTCCGTTCCCATTCCACGAAGTGGTAGATTGCATCGCACGGTACCCTAACGCGAAGATCGTGTGGGTCCAGGAAGAGCCAAAGAATATGGGCGCGTACAGTCACGTTCTTCCGCGTTTATTTACGGCTCTCAAACATCTGGGCGACTCCCGCGAGATCTCATACGTTGGACGTCCCCCGTCCGCTTCACCAGCAACAGGCCAGTACGAAGTCCATGTTCATGAAATGAAGACAATCGTTGACGAGGCACTGCGCGATAGTAGTTGAGGTCGTTTTGTTTTGTTGGTGCCGACATTTCATCGTCGACAAGCAAACGATGACGACGACACCATCTCCACGACTGTACGTGAGCTTGCAACAGTACTGCATTTCTCGATCTCATTCTCGTTGTTGGTATGCTCTTCTGCAAGTACAGTCTTTCGTGGGAATCAACTCGCTCATCTCCCCTCTTCGCGACATGTATCATCATTGGCTGCGTCATGCTGGTTTCTCGGTTAGTCGTTGCAACTTTGAAGCCGACACTAAGGCAAGCTCAACTATAATCCACTACCGTCGATGTGTGTAGTGATCCGTCGACGTTAGTCGTTCAAACTCGTCCCCTAGGACAGCATACCCCTGCGTCGAGGATCATATGTACGGGAAGTCCGTGTCGCACCTCGCGATCTCCATTGACGACAGGGAATTTGACAACGGGGACTAAAAGACCTGCAAGCTGTTAGTGCATGGCCTCGAAGAGCGGATGCAACGCTATCGTTGCCTACTTAGTTTCTCTAGTTCAACAGCGGCAACTTGTGATCGACATTGTCAATCGTTTGTGTCAACCTGCCAGCCCTTCTTTTTGGCGTACTCGCCACACCGCCACTCGACGTGCGGCTTCGGCGTGTTTGACAAGACCGTGAAACCTTATTGTAGCTGACTTGACACATGTACGAAGCGGGCACTGAGGCGCGTCGCCAAGAGCTGACGATATCCGGAAAGACAGAGGAAAAGTCGTGTCGATTTTCGGCAGACACCACGCTGCAGTCTCATCGGATCTGCTGGCACAGCTATGGAGCTCATATGTCACGTTTCGCATGATGGCAAAGCGCCTGCGACTTTTCGTCTGTGTGATCAGCCCGCCTCGAGGTCTGCAAACGACTCTCGACCACCAAGTCTGCCGTTGGTCCGGTCGGCGGACCAAGTGTGGACCTGAGCTAGACACTACTGAGGACTATAAAGGCACATTTGAGGAATCGTAGTGTGCAACAGGGAGCGACGCTGAAGTGCTTGGGCGCTACGATCTCGGGCTCACGATCGACTTTCGACGCTCGGCCATACCACCATCCGCGTGTTACAGCACAAGTCAGCTGACATCGTTTGAAGCTAGAGAGAGACAGACGCTGGACCGTTTGGTTTACAGTAGCGCGCATCACTGCCCACGCTGTGTGTGTGTTGCGTGGAAAGCGTGACACCCGCAACCTCGATCATCTACCATGACGCAGCCGCCCTCCTCTCCGCTCTCTTTGTTCTCTTGGCTGAATATTGTGTGTGTGTGTGTGTGTGTTCACGAAAGAAGGAGGGGACACCACTCCGACATCTCTCGACCGCTGCCACGCATGACAAAGAGCTGCTCCTGTCGGTCACCACCAGAAACTACGACGGTGGAATAGCTCCTCGGACTGCGTGTTTGCAAATCCTGCAACCGATGCTCACGATCGTCTTTGCGCGTTGAATCGATCCACTGACACTGACTCGAGTGTGCCACCGGGAAGCAGCTCCAGTGCACGTGTTGACACCCTGTCGAGAGGCTCTGCTCTGGTGTTGCAAAGAGCTAACGACGCAGCTTCCAGCCACAGCTGGTCGCGCAACAAACTGCCTCGATGTTCTTCCCACGGGAGCATTGCTCTGTCTCTACGACTTGAAGTAGGACGGAGCTCGTGGTCTTTCGAGTCCATGCGATTCAACAGACCTCCCTCCAGTCTGTCCGCGAGACCAAAGGCAGACGCAGAATCTCTGGTCCCGCGTTTTCGGTCCAGTCGCAAAACGAGGCGCGTTGCGTTCCCATCGCGCTCTTGCTCGCACCTTATGGGGCTTATCTGCTTTCCCTGACCATCGACTTGCATCCGATTCTGGTCCACTCACTCACTTCCAGCTACTGCTACTGCTGATGTTTCGTCGGTGCTGCTGCCGTCGCCTGCCGTTCGTCTCACTTTCGAAAACCCACTACAACCGATCGACCACTTGTAGTAGTTGACGTCGTCGGGGACTCGTCGAATCGCTGCGGGATCTTGTCATGCGTACCCATTGGCGCGTCGCCATTGCACTGCTGACTCGAGCTGCGGCTTTCAGCGCCACTGTCGGCGGCGAAACGGCTGTGGCTTTTCGTCATAGCGTCCCGATCCCTGAGCTCGTGCCGTCGTTGACACGCTCGTCCGACTACACACTCAGTGCTCTCCAACACCCGACTGTCACTGGCCATCGAGGGGCGCCGGGGTACCTGCCCGACCATACGATCGAGGGGTATACACTCGCGATCGACGTCGGCATTGACGTGATCGAGCCTGACCTCGTCAGCACAAAGGACGGCGTGCTCGTTGCACGGCATGAGCCCTACATCGACGGCACGACGGACGTGGCCTCGCACCCCGAATTTGCCGACCGCCTGACCACCAAGATGCTGGACGGCGTGCCCGTGCGCGGCTACTTTGTCAGTGACTTTACCCTCGACGAGATCAAGACGCTGCGGGCCACGCAACCCCTGCCCGAGCGCGACCAGAGCCACAATGGCCTGTACCAGATCCCGACGTTCGAAGAGGTCATTCAGCTGGCACAGCTCAAGTCGGTCGCGTACAACCGCACGATTGCCATCTACCCGGAAGTGAAGCACTCGAGTTTCCACACGGCACTTGGCGTGCCGATTGAACCCGTCATGCTCAAGCTACTGACTCAGTACGGATGGAACCACGCGAATGCGCCCGTGTTCATCCAGTCGTTCGAGACGGCGAACCTGCGGAAGCTCAGGAAAGTCACAAACGTCACGCTGGTGCAGCTAATTGACGGCTTTGGTAGCGACCCGATCACTGGCGACGTTCTTTTCGAGGCGCCGTCGGCTCGACCGTACGACTGGACGCTGGCCAACCGCACCGACACGTTCGGATATCTGACGACGCCGGCTGGTCTTGCTGAAGTGGCGACGTATGCCGACGTTGTCTCGCTCTGGAAGCGATACGTGCTCAAAGCGATTGCTATTGAAGTGGACGACAGTGGGAACATTGTCGACTTCGATGGCGACGGTCAGATTACGGATGCTGACTACAATATCATTGAGGGTCTAGACGTTATCAGAGATGCACACGACGCTGGTCTCAAAGTACATACGTGGACAATTCGTGACGAGAACTACCGTCTAGCTGCGAACTATTCTGGCAACGCGACGCTCGAGTACTTGCAGCTCTTCAACATGAAGATTGACGGACTGTTCAGTGACAATTGCAAGACGGCAGTGGTGGCGCGCGATGCATGGCTGGCTGAGCAGCTGGACTAGTGACGAAGAAGCACACGAATGTTCGTGTGCTTTTGACTCAGCTTGTACCAAGTAGAGCATGCAATGATCGTTGTTAGAAGTGTATCAGGACAGCCCGTGGTGGTTATTTAGTTAGCCTGCTTACTCCTGTGTGTGCATGTCGCCGTAAAACAAGCAATGAACTAGTGCCTTGAACGTGCAGCAGCCGTCTTCATTGTTACATGTATCGAAGGCTCACATGTCTGAGTACACTTTCCGGTACAGACATTCCTGCTCGTGACGTGCCGCAAGGTACGCTGCATGTGCTGCTGCATCAGGATGCGCGTATTCCAGCTGCGTTGTCAGCTCTTGAAACGACCCGGACTCCTCAAGGGAATGTAAGCCCAAGTAGGTGCCGATTAGCACTGCAAGACCACGTGAAGTCGTTTCGGTAGTACTTGCTTCGAGAATCAACTTCTTTCCCAAGCTGTCGGATACCATTTGTCGCCAAACTCGAGACGACGCAAGCGCAGTCCCGCTTACAACGACTGTTGCATTCACGTCTGCAAAAGACGCTAGATGTACAACACAGTTTACAGTCCATGCACGTTAGTCAAGAATGGCAACAAGTGTTTTGGTCTACAGGGTGCACTACTGACGTACCAAGAAGCGAGCACAGTACGCCAATACGGAGAGCAATCGACTCCATGCCAGCGCGCAGAATTTCGATGGGAGTCGTCCACTTGCTAATGCCGCTGATGGTGCACGTCGCGCTTTCACACCAGCCTGGTGCACGCTCACCTCTCAAGAACGGCAACACGATGAGACCATGCTTCGCTGGGCCGAGCTTTTCCAGCTGAGACGATAGGTCTACATACGAGCACAGTAGCACCAACTTCGTAAACCACTCGAAGGTTCAGCTCTTGTCAAGCAGATTGCACATACCTTCGTTGCTTAGTCGAAGCGACTCGCGAAAGAACTTGTAGACTGACCCTCCGTCACTGAGCGCCCCGCCGAGAAGTACTCGATCTTTACCAATTCGGTAGCACCACAAGCCCCTTGGCACTTTAGCAGTCTTCATTGCATCTGCATTCAGCATAACGCGAAGCGCGGCGCTAGTTCCAATGGTCACTGCGATTCTCCTGCTCAGACACCAAGATTACATGAGCAAATCAGCTTGCACTTTTTTGAGGTCATTCGCCATCACGTACGATGCACCGATACACTTGGACCCGACGTTAGCTGCTGCACCATCGGCTACACCCAGGAAGAACGGCACCTTGTTTAGCTCGGGCCAGCGTCTCGAAAACTTCGCGTTTAGTCCAGCAAACGGCATCGAGGAGTCCACGACTGGCGGCATCTTGCTCATGTCCATTCCAACGAGTCCAAGTATTCGCGAGTCCCATTCACCGCGTCTGAAATCGAGCAGTCCCATCCACGAGGCCTCCGAGAAGCTGATAGGAAGACCCTCACTCTGCGCGGTGGTCGTCCACTTACCGATCAGGTAGCTGGAAACACTTTGCCACTTGGCAATACGTTCCACCACAGCTGGCTCTTCCTCGTGAAGACGCAAGAACGTGGCGGGGGCATACGACGGGTGGACCACCGTTCCTAGCAGCAGCCCCAGCTCGTCAGATCAACTACCAGTTGCAACATCAATCGACTGCATATTCCTTGCCCAGCATTACTACCTGTGCGATTGTGCGTCTCGTCCAATTGCCCACTAGCCTTGAGTTTCTCCTGCAGCCTCTTTGCCCACTCGGCCGTCGCCTGCTTCCGCCCAGCATACTACAACCCAAGCCACAAGATCAATATACAGTCGAGCACGAAATGACAAATACACGGCCAGAGATAGCCTCACCGTGTACACGGGAGTTATCACGTTCCCGCTCGAGTCGATGCCCAGCAAGTTCATGGAAAAGGTGCTAAAACCCACACCCACGAGCTCTTGCGTGAGGTCCACCGCCCGAAGAAAAGCCAGTGTCTGGTCCACGACGTGCTCCACGATCGTCTCAATCTTTGCGCAATTCGCTTCTCCATGGACGTCAATTGAGAGCTCGTGCTGCTGTTGCAACGAGTTATTGAGGAGGACCCATTGGCCTTTCGATACGAGTGCGAAACAGCTGGCACGAATCGAGGAGCTTCCAATGTCCAGTACAATCACCACCGGTCGGCCACGGTACTGCTGCGGTTGGACGAGGCCGCGGAGGTACTTGCGATGCGCGAGACGCTGTTGGTGCGAGCGATAGAGCCACGCCCCACCAACGAGAGACGATGAGACGGTAAGCAGGGGCAGCCAGAGCTTCATCGGCGGCTGGACACTTTGCGCGGACCGACTTTCTGACCAATCACACGTCGTCTCGACTCGCTCGACCAATCACACGTCGTCGTGTGAGGGCTTGTTGTGTGGGTGCTCGACGAGGCGTCCAACGAGATTGTCAAGTATGAAGTTTCACCAAAGTATTCTGTTTCGGAGGTGCATAAAGGCTGACGCGCGCACGTGTACAGCCTTTATCACCAATCGATGATCCACCAGAGCGTCCGCCTCGTGGCGCTGCCCGCGCGTCGTGCGTTCCATGCGGCTGCGCACCGACTGGCGCTCCAGACGGTCAACGTCCCGTCCATGGGCGACTCCATCAGCGAAGGGACGCTCGTAGAGGTCCTCAAGAAGGCAGGGGACACTGTGCACGCGGACGAAGTGGTGCTGGTGCTCGAGACGGACAAGGTATCATGTTTCTGTGCTTGTGCTGACCGAAGTTTGTGTGGCTGTAGCCGAACACACCGGCGCGCTCGACCACTGACCGACCTGTTCGCAATGGCTGATACGGCCGTTCCGTGCCTATTCTCTACTTGCAGGTGAGCGTGGACGTGACAAGTCCCGTAGCTGGAACGATCGTAGAGGTCTTGGCTGAGCTGGAAGAGAATGTTGACGTGGGCAAACCACTGTTCACGCTGGACGATGCACTGCTTCCCAGTGGCTCCGCCAGTGAGTCACTACAGACTGACACCTTTGTGTCATCGGCGGCAACGCCTGAAGCTACTGCTGCTGCCGTGTCGGAATCCCGCTCGCCTCTTATCAAGTTCCTGGGCAAGCGCTCGCTGCTGCCTCCGAAGCCGTCGGCGTGTCCTGAACCTTCACACTTCGATCTGGCGCCGTCACCTACGCGCACAGTGCCTGTCCAGCCATTGAGTGCCGACGTTCTTCCATTCACCAGTGCCAAGCGCCTGCCGCTGTCGCCTGCAGAAGTGGAATCGATCAACTCGGGTCTTGCCTTCTTGTAGGCATGTAGCTCGAGTCCGTTGGTGTAACGCGTGAGGGCGTAACCTCGTGTTGATAATGGAACGGGAATGGAAGCACCGAGACGACAAGCTGGCGTCTCGAGGAGGTGAGTGGCTGGCCAGTACGTGGACGGAAGCCGGACCTAAGACAAAATACACAACAATCGCACGCTTGGTACAGATAGATCGGCCATGCTCTGTTCTTCTACGCTGCCGTCGGTCGTCACACAGACACAATAGCGGCTGCACCGAAGATTTCGTGCTGTGGACACGCGCCGCCACCGATGACCCAGTCGTTGCAGCCTGGAACAGCGCACTTCTTGCCCCCGCCGTGAGCCTTGCAGTAGCCTCCACCACGGTTCGTCTTGACGCAACCTTCAGTTTTGCACCGCCCCCCACCGCCATGCCGAATGCAGTGGCCCCCGCTATTTGCCTTACGTGTGCATTCCGGGAAGCTGCAAGGTTTTGTGCCGCCATGAGCCTTGCAAAGCCCACGGGCCTGTCCCAGCCGCTCGCACCCAGCTACAGTGCATCGCGGTTTGCCACCGTGCGCACAGCAACGCCCAAAGCGGATCTAGAGGAACCACACGACACATGGATCGTTGGCAACAGTAATGCGTGGGCCAGTTTTGTGCCAACTACTCTCGTACCTGTTTCTTCGTGCAGTCTGGAAACGTACAGGTGAAGCCGCCACCGTGTGAAAGACAATAGCCGCCACCCTGGTCGTGCTTGCCACATTCACGATGTGAGCAGCGCTTGCCAGTGCCACCGTGCTCTTTGCATCGTCCGCCATTGAGAGCCCAATTGCGACAGTCTTCGGCTTGGCATCGTCTACCACCACCATGCGCTTTGCAGCGGCCTCCACCAACACACGGCGTCGTGCATCCTTCCACGTAACACTTCTTGCCGCCACCATGCGCAACACAGAGACCGCCACCTTTGTCCTTCTTGCCACATCCCTGCACCTTGCAGAAGTAGCCGCCACCATGGGCTTTGCACTTGCCCTGTCCCCGATCGTATTTCTCACAGCCTTCCACTTTGCACCGTGCACGCCCTCCATGGCCACTGCAGAGACCGTACCGAATCGCCTTCTTCGTACAGCCACTCATCCTGCAGTCGCGCCCGCCTCCATGAGCCAAGCACAAGCCTTGTCCAGCGTCATACTTGTCGCACTTCTTGATGGAACACTTTCGGCCACCGCCATGTGCACAGCAGAGCGCTGTCGCGCCAAGAGCGACGCGCGTGCAGCCTGCAATGCCGCAGCGTTTCGAGCCGCCGTGGTCTGGACACGTGCGCAGGTTAAAGAACGCACAGAACGGCGTCTGACAGCGGTATCCACCTCCATGAGCGATGCAGAAACCTCCTGCTTGCGCAAACTTGGGACAGTCCTCAAAGCGGCAACGGTAGCCCCGTCGGTCGGTTGTCGTCCCGGTCAACGGGACCTCGTGCTTGTGCTTAGGATGGCCATCGACTTCTGCCTGGTCCTGTAAAGTGTCCAGACACTTCGTTGCGCCCGACTCAGCTTGCGCTTGCAAGTCCATTGGTGACTTCGCTTCAACTTGACAAAAAGGAACGCCATCTACCAGCTGTTTACCCGTCTCGATCGCTTTCGGACTTGAGCGAGGCGCGATCGGCAGCGCGTCCTCCTCGTCGCTTCGTCCAAGCAGGGGCAGTATAAACGACGGCGGCAGATCCGAGCCGTCCATGCCCTCTTCATCAAAGTGCACTTTGCTGTCGGCGCCATCAAACAGTGCGGCTGACGCTGTCGCCACTTCCCGCTCTTCGTCTGCGGTCGTCTGCATTGAGCGGCGTACACAACTGTCCAAATCGACGTGTAGTATACAGGCGACGACTATACGTTTTACAGCCAGCATCTGGTCAGGTCTAGATCTAGTCGCCTATCTGGTCAAGTCACGGGCGTCATGACGACTGACAGAAATCGGAAAACAATATTGCAATAGTCGGCACTTACTGCCCTCCTCGATTGAGTCGCTGTCTCATTGAGCCAAAAGTTATTATTTCAATAACTTGCAATTCCGCAATACGAGCTGCAAGTGACCATGACAGGCATGACGAGGTCGGTCTGTCGAGCTCATCGCCGAGTCATTGTCTGCTCCTTCTCTCGCTTCGGATACAGACACACAAATGCACATGCACTCACACTCACACTCATTCCTGTTTGCTCTCTTGTGCCCAACAGGGTCGTGATCGTACAGGACGTCAACATCACGCAAAAGTATCAAGAGCTTTTGCGCAAACTGACGACAATGGGCGGCGAGAAGGTCGGACGTCACGTGGTGCACTGCCGACTGTTCAACCGCAAGACGCTCACGGGTAAACAGCGACGACACACAGACGTATACACAAGAGAGAGAGAGAGAGAGAGAGAGAAGAGAGGGAGCATTGGGTACATAAGCACGTGGAGAGACTAAACGAGGGGCGGGTGTGGCTATGGCTGTTGTAGATGGCTACACCAACCAGCGCATGTTCATGCTACGCATGTCTCAAAACGACGACCTCGTGTACACGGTACTGGCCAATGAGAAGGCGCGTGGACTGGCGGCCAGTGACAACGGGGTAGAAGGGCTCACGGAGGACTGCTCGTTGCTCGAGTGTGGTCTGGATGGAGCTAATATCCTGCAGCAAGTCGAGATCTACGCTTTCAAGTCGGACGGCCAGTTTGAGGTGCTGTCAAAGAGAAAGCTTTTTGCTTGCTTGTTGGCGTCGTGGCAATGCTGACTGAATGGACATTGTTGGTCTGGTGCTGTGCAGGGCACGCAGTACGTCGTGGGGGACTTTCGAGTGAGCGTCTGCACGTTCATATCGCGCAACAACTTGCCGCGAGGTCTCATTGTCGAAGTGCAGTACTCACCGTGCTACACGGTGTCGCACGTGGATATGCTGATTGACGAGTTCCTGGGCAACTTCGCTTCGCACGGTCAGTTGCGCAAGCCCGTGGAAAACATGTCGGCGCTCTTTGAGAAAGCAGGGCTACCGAACAGTGAGTACAGTCTGAAACACACAGCTCTGCAGTACGTCGCCGCGTTCAATATCTTGCGCAAGTTCGAAAAGTAGCAACTGCGCGAGAGTCTTGGACTCGCACAATATGCCGAGCTCGGCAACTGAAGAAGTCTTTCGCCATGTTGATGATGGCCCAAGTCGGATCGAACGTAACTAACGTCAAGGCGAGACGTATACGAGCTTGGCTACGGGCTCGGACTCAACAAGCACTGTCAACTTCAAATACACAAAATGTTTACGACCTTGCTACTGCTTTCCGTGCGGTCAATGGCTAGTCGCAGCAGCGCTCGACTCATCTACGAGGCAGCATCGGGCATGGCACTGCCGCCGAGCACGGACAACGGACTAGCACTGGATGCACCAGGTGTCGAGCCGAGGCATGTGCGAGCCACGTCGTCAAAGACCTCTTTGATCTCACTCGAGCACTCGAGATAGTCCTGTTCCCAGAATTTGTAGCTCTTGTTGCGAATCAGCTCGATGAACGTCACCAGCAGACCCCACGGGTGTGGTCGGTTCGCAATGAGACGCTCAATGAGGACGCGTGTGATCTGCTCCTTGACCATCTTGTTCTTCGAGTACGAGAACAGGTACAGAATCACGCAGCTGAAATAGTGCGTGTGACTGTTCGGGTAGCGCAGGTGGTTCGCCAGAGAACTGAAGTACCAGTAGCGACCTTCGGCGTCCAACTCATCCGCCAAGTAACGAAACACATCCATAGCCGCGCTCTGCTCGAACTTGCTGGTCGTAGCGGAAGCTCCGGATTTGACACCAGCTCCGGAAGGCGTCGGTGACGGACTCACAGGTGTAGAACCGCCGTTGGCCATTTCCGTAATACCCTCTTTACCTAGGTGAAGAACAAGCGCATTGAGCGTGGGCAGCGCGTAAATGCACGACGTTGGGTCACGCTCGAGCTGGGCAGCAGGGCGCATCAGCTTCGAAATGAGGTCCGCAGGGAACACTGCGGCACGGTTTGTTGTCGCATGAAGGAACTCATCGACGTACTCTTTGATGCCATTGTGGGCGAGAGCAGCTCCCCACGTGGGCATCAGCCGCGGGGCTACGCTCACTTCAGGAAGTTGGGCGACCTGCAGACCCAGGGTAAGCGGGTCCGGCAGCCGCACCGAGCGAGAAAATGCCGACAGAACCACGTTGCGCAGTTGAACACACGCGGCCGGCAGCACGTCACAAAAGCTCGTGTAGAAGTCGCTGAGGAAGTCTGGATAATCGTGGAGCAGGACCAAAATGATGCGCACGACGCCTTTGTACAGCGTTGCGATAGAATCTGGCAGCGGCGTAGTCGAGCTCGCACAGCGCAAAAATGGCTCAATGAAGACGAGCAGATTCATGAGAAGGCGGTGCAGAATCTGCCAGCCGCGCTGTTGTTTTGCACGAAGCAACAGCGGCATGAAGCAACGGTGCGAGATGAGCTCCGTCCAAGCAAACACGAAGCCGGGCAATCCCGACGGCTGCAGCGTGTTGTACGCACTAGCGAAGGTATTGAGAACCTGGAGGTGGATCGCATCCAACGCCGGCTCTTGTGCCGTCAGCTCCTTCATCAGGTTCACGAACATGCGGAAGAACACGCGCTGGTCGAAGGTAGCCTTTTTCTTGCGCGACAGGTCGTGCGCCGCAACCAACACGTTGGCAATTGCGCCAACCGCGTGGTTGAGTACCTGGAGCTTTGCAGTGGGCGAGGGGTCAAGGAACTTCACGAGTAGCGCCATCAAGTGCGTTAGTGCATCCGGTACTGCGTAGTTCAGCGGAATCTTTGCGCCACTCTTGAGTGCGGCAGGGTCGCTCGCGGCAAATGAGCTCTTCAGACATGCGTCCACACACAGTTCCGTGCCAAATTTGAAAAAGAGCGACACACTCTCGTCATCGGCAAGCAACCCGTATTGCTTCAGCATCTGTAGGTACTGAGCATGTATCTTCGAGTTGCCATTAGGCTCCTTGTAAATGGCGATCCAGTGCTCCAAAGCATTGCTCACGGTGTGCCGGAAGGCAGCATGCTCCTGCACCAAAAGCCGGTCTCCAGCGGCCTTCGCAGCACCACTCCCAATAGACCCCATGCTCTTTTGTGATACCGATAGACTCGGGCGGGGCTGCGCCTTTTGTACACGCGCTTGTTCCAACAAACCAGCGAGGATCTGCACATTCTTGTTCGCGGCAATACCCCCGTGGCGCTCTACAATGCGCGCTAGCGCTTCCAGGGTGTTTGGAAGGTGGGCAGCGACTGCAACATGATCCATCATCAGGCACTGGCGGACAACGTGCACGGCAAACTCGATGGCCACGCTGTTGCGCTCCATGTTTCGAGCCAGGTATATGTCGAACTCACTTGCATCTACCACTTTGTAGCGAATAAGCGCCACAATGACTTCACAGTGCAGCTTCAGCTTATCGTCCACTGGTGCGCGCAACACCCACCCCACGACCTCTTTACGAAGCTTCTCGCAGCTACCAGTCAGTGCTTCCAACGAGCTTACGAGGATCTCCAAAAACAGCTCATTGCCCCGACCACCGTTGCCCAGTTCATACATGAACTTAACGATACGATTCGCGATCTTAAGACAGGCTTCGTCTCGCAGCGCTGGTCGCACACTTCCACCAAGTGCACGCACCTCGCGAAGAACTGCGAACACCTCGCTTTCTGCCGGAATTGCTAGCAGCAGCGGAAGCTCGCGCTGAGCGGCAGCAGCCTGGCGAACAACTTTCTGCACGAACAACTCGAAACGCTCCAGCAAGCCAGCAAAACGATCCAACGCCGCCGTTACGCTCACACCAGCAGTGTCTCCCTCCTTCTCCACAGCACCAGCTGTGTATACACCGGCACCTGCACGGGACGAAAGCGGCATGGAAGTCGGTCGTGGGATGCGCTGGAAAGCTTCGTACACCACGAGTTGCATGGGCGGAATCCCACCTGGCTTTGGCTTAAACACTTCGGGCAATGCCGCTGGCCATTGTCCACTAGGAGCGCCTGGAGAACCGGCGGAAGCTGCAACTGCCGTGCTGCTTGCGCTGCCCTCGAAAAAATGCACCCCGTCGTTTCCTGACGCTTTGCCAGACTGCGCTTGCTGCTGCTGGTAGCGCCGACGCGATGCGTATGCCCCGGCAAGGGCTTCGTCAATATCGCGCATGGCTTTCTCAGATGACGCTTTCTCGATGAGCATGCAACCCAGGTCTGTGTTCTCGTTGGAGCATACCTGGATCACGTGTTCGCGCTGCTGTGGGTCCCCAGCGCTGGTAGGTAGCAGCGCACGGAGGTGTGTACCAATGGCATTGCGAAGCGGCTCCTTTGCTGTGATAAGTGCCAACGATCCAGACATTGATGCTACCATCAAATGCGCCGCCTTGCGCATCTTGGTATCATCACACTCGGTGGCAAAGTCCTTCAAAATCACCTCTCGTGTAGTAATGCACGCAATCGTTACACTGCGCTCCACCACAGGAGAGATCACTTCGCGAATGGCACGGTCTACAGCGAGGGGTACAAGACGACGCAAGTTCACGTTGCGCAGCGGCAGCTCAGGGTTCACAGCAACATATGAAGCCAGATTAGGAATCACTGTCGACTCCGCAGCCGTAGAGACAGCACTGCCTGCAGCAAGCGCGCCACTGTTGACCGCCTCTCTTCCAGCCGGGCTTCCGGAAGCGGTGAACCCATCACCCGTCTTCTTCATTTGCTTCCCTGGTGTCAGAGGTCGGCTCAGCTTCGCGCCCGAGCCTGGCGGAGGCGTGGCAGACCGCTGCGCCATCGCTGCGTTCTTGAACACCTTCACATTGAAATCGGGATTCGCTGTAGAAGGCGGCGCGCGACGCGTGTGCAACAGCTGCGCCTTGCGCTGGTCTTCCACGTTAAGCTTGAACGATTTGAACAGTACTTCGATCTCGAATTTGAGGTTCAGCTTCAGGTCCGGCACATCGTAGATCTCGCTCATAGCGTGGATGAGACCCATGACCCACGGGTTCGGCGGTTTGAAAATCTTCGACTTCTTGCAACCTTCCAGTATTTTGGCAACGAACGGTGTCACGGCAATGAGGTGGCCCGTTTCATAGCCCATGTATAACAACTCTTTCAAGTCCAAATCACGCTGCAACAAAGGCTTGTTCCGCGCGAGAGTAAAGACTCCAAGCCACGAGCCTACGTTTTTCAGCAACGACCGTTGTTGCGAATTGGTGGTGATCGTTCCCGAAGTAAGCAGCTTGCGTGCGTTCTGAAGGGTACGTTTGAGGATCTCTTGCTCCAGCTCTGGCCGAACAAGCTTCTCAATAAAAATGAGGTAAACCGTGTGGTAATTTGGCTGTGTCGAAATGCGCTTTACTACCAAGTAGTTCGCTAGCCAAGCATGGTACGAGGGCAGCAGCATCTTGCGCACTTCTGGAATCTTGGCTTCTAAATTGGATATCGACATGTTGTTCACAATGAAATGAATGCGGTCTTTCACGCTTTCGTCGGGTTGCTCCACAACTTCGTCTTCATCCACCTTGCTTGATCCGTGGAAAATATGATCCACCTTCAACTCGGGAGCGGGAACAGCAGGGGGTGGCGGCGAGATGGCAGGTACTTTCTGTAGCGGGGAGGCCAACGATGGACCCGCTGACCGACTCAAGATCGACGGTGGAATATGGATGCCCAGCGCTATATCACCGTGAGGTTTCACGCTTGACCCGCCCAATGGCGGTGATGCACCACCAAACGGCGCAGCACTACTGTTCAACCTCGTCACTCCGCTTCCTTCAAATGTACTACCTGACGGGGGCAGTGTGCTACTCAACGAAGACAATGCACCGCTGCTACCAGCACTTGCATCCTGCCCTGACAATGCGATCGAACGAGTCACCTGATTCACTTGACGCATAATTTCCGGTAATGCGTGCTGCAGGTGCGGGATCTGCGAAAGGTTGGTGCAATACGCCGGTAGCTCGCGCAGTCGCGGAACAAACTGTTGCAGCGCACAGGCGCCGAAGAAGAAAAACTTAGAATTCACAGGCTCACGGAGACTCTCGAGTACCGAACGCAACGCTGTCTGGAGAAAATTTGGCGGGAGCACTTGGTGCTCGATGAGCTTTCCGAAAAGAACGCCGGTGATTCGTAACTCCATTTCCGGATAACGCGGGAAAAATCGGTACTCATCAAACAGATTGTGAATCATGCAATAAAAGATCTGCCGTTCGCGCTCTTCACGAGAACCTTGGAAGCGTTTCAGCATTGCTACGACGTCATTGATGTTCTGCTCCGACGTGTAGATCTGCTGGAAGTACGCATTCGCCTGCTCCTCAATCATCTCTGCCGTATACGACGGGGTCTCTCCGCTGGCCAAACGCTCACTTGCAACCCCAGCGCTCGCAGCTGACGCAGCTCCAGCAGAAGCGCCACTCGCTGTCCCTAACGCTCCTGGCGTGTGAGAGATCACTGCTCCGCCAGGCGGACGTGTAGATGCCGAGATAACAGGGTGGGTTTCCATGCACAGGGTGATAATGCGCTTGAGTTCTTGTGCTATCGTGACGGGTAACACCTCCTGAACCGCCATGATGCACTTCAGTATCGTCGCCAACGACTCGATCGACATCACATGACTCGATTGCGGGGTAATGCTACTCTTCGGGACGGCGCGAGCGTAGTTGCGGTGCACAAAGGCAAGACACGATGTCGCGAACGCCGTCCGCTGCGACGCGAGACGTTCCACTAGCCACGTCTCTAGGTTCAGCACATCGTGATTGGCTCCCATTGTGGCAAGCGCCAAAGCAAACGAAAAGTAGTTCGAGTGAATAGCCGACGCGAACGCATCGCCTGTGTTCCGGAAGAGCGCAAACAGTCGCGAAACGATGTGCGGCGCCGTCGCGGCGTAAAAACATTTCACGCTCGCGTACAGCACCAGCTTAGGTGCCACGGACCACAAATGGCGCATAATGAGCGGTGCGTTAGGACGGCCCATAATGTACGAGCTAAACAGCTCCGAAAACATATCTTCACGCAGCGCATTCCAGCGCGACGAGGCCTGAGCCAAGTTAGCGATCAACACATCCGGACACGTCTTCATAGCCCCATCCAAAAGCTTGCGTACATCACCGTAACAGTCCTGCAGCGATAACTGCAAAAGCGTCTCCACGACATCTAGCGAGAACCACACGCCATTCTTCGGAACAGCGGACGCATCGGCGCCTTCAAACGGTGCAAGCTTATGCGGCGATTCGGCGAACGAGAGCACGTCCGGTGGCGCCTCTACTGCTGCCCTTAGAATGCTGATATGCGCACGGCTGTTCTTCCACGGTCGCAATAGTGTCGTCACGCGGAACTTCGTTTGCGAAAAGCGCTGGAACGCCGTGATCAGCACGCGGAGCTGGGAAACATTTTGCACGTTGAGGTCAGCTCGGTCCAACTTCTCTGCAACCTTCGCCCACTTTATAGAGCCGTAGTCTTTCTCCAGCACTTCCGCAATCACCTCAAGGTCCCAGCTTTCACGCACAGGAGCAGCGGCTGCCTCGTCCAACGGAGATGCCTCAAAGTCGATCGTCAAATTCGCTATCAGTGTTGCACCGTTTTGCGCATCTAGTCCGGTGAACGTCCGAGAGAGCATCGCCAACATTCCTGCAACATGTGTTGGTGGGATCGTGGGCGCCTTCGCAAGCCCGGCCTCGGCCAGGAGGGTACGGAAGGCTTGCGATGACGACGTGCACGAGTACCCGACATCTTCCATCAACTCGTAAAACAGACAGCTCGAAGATACGTCCAAAATGAGCTTGTTGAGCGAGTCCAGGTCCGTCACGGGCTCGCAGTCCACGTACTCGGGGTCGCCCATCGTGAGTGGGGCCATCTCCAGAGAGCCCATGTCGGTAGGGTGAGCCGACGAGATGCTGGCAAGGAACGAGTCGGTCTCGGTAACGTCCACACAAAATTCCTTCTTCATACGTAGCACAAAGACGAGCGAGTGGAGCACGTCCGACGTCAGCTTGGTGCCACAGGACGAGATCTCGGGGATCTTGGCACGCAAGAAGCGGATGGCTTCCGTGGAGCTCTTGGTATTTTCGCCTAGCGCAAAAGCCAGACCGACTGTCACTTGCTGTGGGAGACTGAGCTTGAGTGTTTTGCAAAAGAGCTGCAGAAACTCTTCGGTCACGTAACGTGCACCAGCATCCACCTCGTCCGACGCGTTGCCTTCGATCGCCTGAGTGGACGTCACAGACAGTACTGCATTAGTTTGCGTCATCATAAGAGCACAGCCGCGAGAAAAGGAAGAAAGCAGAACAAGATACAGGAAGCCAGATTGAAGCAGTACAGCCACCCACCTCGCAGATAAAAGTAGTAAAATTAGGCCGGGATGAGGCCTGAGCGACCTCGTGCGTAAGCAACTGGATCTTGAGCGTGTCTTTCTGGCCACGAAAGTCAATGTCCTTGACGAGACAGTTGAGCAGAAAGATTCGCGCGTCTTCACCGTAGAGTTCCACGAGCTGCAGTGTCAACAGCAAAGAGCGCATCAAGCAGACACCACACACATCCACAAGGTCAGTTGCAACACAAGAGAACAGCCAGCAGCAGCAGCAGCAGTAGCGCATAGCACAAGATCGGCGCCAGGACCTGGTTGAGTTCAGCCACGTTGGACTTGAAGTTCTTCTTGCTGAGGTTTTTCACGAGGTAGTTGATCTGCCAGAATAGCGGCGACGCGAACGAGACCATCTCGAGCGTCGCAGGCGAGTCCTAAGCGGTAGGGAGCGCCCGTGAACGGGGGGGAGAACGCGAGAGAGGAGGGGGAAACGAGGGGGCGGGGCTTTTCCGTGCGGATAAATGGGGAGCTCGAGGAGCTACGAAACGAGGGGCGGTCGTGGATTGGCTGAAAAGAAGCGAACCTCGGACAGTGCGGGACGGCACCAGGTCGTCTGCTGATTGGTGGAAATGACTCGTCACTTGACGTGGCGAGCAAGCGCGTGACGCGAGCTCATGACACCGGCGCACGTCGCGACGGCGGCGCCCGAGGCCAGCGACTTTTTCTTCGGCACTGTGCTGGGTCAGGGCTCCTACGCCAAGGTGTGTGCCGTACCATGCGCTCTTGTGTCGCTTGTTGAAGTAGATGGCGGCGGGTGGGAAACTCACGGGACGTCGGTACACACACACATACACATACACACACTCGTTGGATGCGTGCAGGTGTTTCATGCACAAATGAAGACGAGCCGCGCGGACTTTGCCGTGAAGGTGATGGACCAGAGTTTCATCCGCAAGGAGAACAAGACGGCGTTCGTGCTGACGGAGCGCAAAGTCATGTCGCGTCTGGCGCACCCGAACGTGGTCAAGTTTTACTGCAGTTTTCGCGTAAGCCAGTGACGACGCACGAAAGCTTTTGCGTCTAGTTGCAGCATACACACTGTGATGAAGTGATGCTGGTAGCGGCGATATTGCTGTGGCTAGACCCGTGTCCGACAGTTGCTGATTGCGTCTCGTCTTGTCGGTTTGTCTGTCTGTCTGTCTATCTTCGCTGTGTCGTGGTCGATGGGGTGTGCAGGATCATCACAGTTTGTATCTGGCCATGGAGCTGTGTCGCGGGGGCGACCTCTTCGGCCTCATTAGGTGCGCCTGTTCAATTTGCAATCGTTTTTGTACGGATACTTACGAAGATGGTAAAATTCGCATGGAACGGCTTGCTAGCAACGAGTATCAAAAACAGCAGCAGCAAGGTGTCACGGATGCTGCATGCTCTTTCGAGCTGACGCAGTTCTATACAGCTGAGCTGACCAATGCGCTCGAGTACATCCACACGCAGGTATGATTGTTTGCGATACGAGGCAGAACTGTGTACTGGCTTTGTTTGCGCACGACATCCATCTTCTGCAAAACTAATGAGAAAGGTGTCTGCTGTAGCGCGTCATCCATCGCGACATTAAACCTGACAACCTGCTCCTCAGGTATGCACTTCACTTCAGCTCGAGTAGGCTTGCATGTGTTCGTACCCGTCTCTCACGTGCTGACCCATTTATCGCGTGTTGCTTTCGTGTTGTTCAGTGCAGAAGGCCATCTGAAGGTGACTGATTTTGGAACTGCAAAGGTGAGAGAAAGGGCGGTATATTATCGTTCGTATAGCTGCTGACTGTTGGGTCGAACCATGCAAAGGACCAAGATGACGAGAGTAGCAGTGTGTGCCAATTTTGCGGGACTGCTTCCTACGTATCCCCAGAAGTGTTGCATGACGAGCCGGCTTCGAGAGCTGCCGACTTGTGGGCAATGGGCTGCTTGATCTTCCAGGTACACCGGGAGGCTTGCCGTTAAAAGCGTTTGCGGAGGCTGAACTGGTGCTGGACGTGTGGTAGATGTTTACTGGCCGAGCTCCGTTTGTAGCCGAAAACGATTACTTGACTTTCCAAGTGGTGAGGCTAGTACTTGGAATGCGTTCCTTTTTGTTGTTGCTTCAACTGATGCTACATGCTCGCAGATCATAAATCACTCGAGCGATGAGTTCCATTTCCCAGACAGCGTCCCAGAAGCTGCACAAGACCTTATCCGGAAGCTCCTTGTCCAGGTACCTCTCATGCCGCGACAGCATTGCGTATGCAGGAGTTATTTTATAAGCAGCTGTGATGGCCTAAGTTTTGTGTCTGTGTTATGTTTGCTGTCTAGAACCCGGACGAGCGCATCGGCGCCGCGCAGAACGAAACAGGATACGCCGCACTGAAGGTTGCCTGCTGGTTCAGTCATTCGACGTGCTTGAGTTTTTCTGACATCTTGTGCGAGCGGTGACTGTGCAGAACCACCCATTCTTTGAAGGCGTCCAGTGGGATGCACTTCGCGATCAGACTCCGCCCTTTCGTCCTCCCAAGCTAGATTTGCCTGAACCGACGTTAGTAAGTCTACATAGGTGGCCAAGCACATGTTTCCAAGCATGTATAAGTGTGCAAACGTTTGTCTGCACAACTAGGATGGCGCTTCAGACAACTGGACCGTTGCGGAATATTTCACGGGCGATTTTTCCGAGAGCGCGTCGACTGAGTTCGGGTAAGGAAGTGTTGTCATGCGGCCATTTAGACCGCTTTTTGCTCACCGTGTCTGTCATTTTCAGTTCCAAGCGTTCACGAAGTAACAGCTCGGTCCAACGCAACCGGCCATCCTGCATCGGATACAGCGAGCAGATCTGCTTTGAATCTACGGTGAAGATCCGCTCCAAGATGTTCAGTCGTACTCGAGACGTAGGTGCCTCGCTTTGATGACAGCCACGAGAGTGGTGCTTATCTCTTTTTGCTGCATTAGCTGTATCTCACAGATGCCCCGCGTCTGGTTGTGGTCAGCTCGTGGTCTGGACGCTGTAAGCGCGAGATGTTCCTGACGCCAGAAACGATTGTGAAGGAGATCGATCCTCACACGTTCGACGTCGTGTCGGTACGTACACGTCGTAGTGACAGTCGCACCTACTTGTCGTTGGTATGCAGCCGGCGATCGTTCTCGTCGAGTCGAGCTCACGCCACGTTTTTGTGTATTTGACAGCGGTCACATACGATCCGAATCAGGGACTGCAGTCATCTCGCTCAGCAATGGGCGCGTGCGATTGCAGAGGCCGTGTCGGAGTAGCTCGAATGCTGCGACTGGGACGATCGACGATACAGGAAGTCGTACTGCAGTAGAACCCGATGCAAGTGGGGCGATGTCAAAGCACGTTGGTGCTTTTCACCAGGACAGCTGCAGCTGTAAGCAGCCGCGAACTTAACGGCGGACCAGGAATAAATTCATTTAAGCGTTTAAAAATGCAGGTGGTTTATCGTCGGAACTGTGTTGGTCGAGTCTTCAAAGTTTAGGTATGTCAGGGCAATTTGGTCCGCTTGACCTTTTTTCTCACGCATATTGTGATCACACACCATCTCTGGAGCGCGTGCACGTGTTGCCGTCTGGGAACTCGAGAGCGGTGCGAGAGGTCGTTTCTGTTCTACCGGTGTTTTTCGTCAGTTCCGTGACGGTATTTGTACGACCAATGTTTGTCAAAACCGCTCGCACACTGGCACGTCGTTGATCGCACAAAACCGACGTCAAAGAGCTGTTTACGTCCCGCGCACCGCCGCGCCAAGTAATCCGACCAATCCGTCCGCTCTTTTCACAATCACGCGCAATGGGACTCCTCCTGCCGCCGCCGCCGCCTCCAGAGACCAGTGTGGCTGATCTACTGAAGCGCCTGCGCGTCAGCATCGGCCGTGACGCTGGGAGCAGCTGCTTGCGACAGCTAGCGCCCATGTACCAGCGTCTGCTCAGCCCCGTGCGCTTCTGTGTCGACTGTTGTTGCTCACTGTCGAGACTGACGACAGTGACCCTCGTGCCCATGTCAGCGCGAGGACACGAGCAACTCGGTGCAGCGCGAGCTACTGGACGTTCGTGCAAAGCTCCTGTCATGCGGTCCACGCGCAGTCGTGTACGTGTCTAGAAGTCTTTTATTGAGCTTCAGGAGCTTCGGGGCAGCAAGTCTCACAGTTGCTCTCTTTGGATAGATCGAGCGTCGTCGACCGCATGGACGAAGTTGTCGAGCGTTGCTGGAGCATTGAAGAGCAGCAGACAGAGCAGCGTTGCAGTGGAGAAGGAGCAGGTTGGGTGGACGTGGGCTATGTGCTGTCTGTGCACGAGAGACAGGCTGACGCCGTGTCGATAACATCAATTTGGATGCTTTGTTGTACAGCGCCCATCGGCGAAGTGATGCGGTTGTTGGTGGCTTTGGCAGGCGGAGACAATGGAGAGACGTTTGTGCTCGAAGATCCCATGCAGGTGGTGAACGAGCTGTTGCGTCGCGTTCTTTTCTCCGTCTTCGTTGCCGCTAAGCCTCATCACTAATTCATCGTGCGTGCCGACGGACAGTTTTACGCAACTGGAAAGAAGCGTATCGGCGACTGCATTCGAATGAATGATATCAAGATCGTGCAATGCGCCAATGCGCTTTTCAGCAAAGCGCCAGCGTCACTGGACGAAAATGCGTGAGTGGTGTCAGAAGTGCGACCTGTGAGCGCTCGACTGATCGGCGTCCTATATCTTGACGCAGACTTTTTTCGCAAAGCTTGTTCGATGACTTTGGCAATGGCATATCGAGCCAACACGCCAGTCTGTGGTGCACTGACTCAGGTGATCTTGAAGACAAAGGATTTTCAGACATGATGCCATCTCAGCAGGTGTGCTAGAAGGCTCAGCATTTGCAGCGCAAAGAGGTGGCTTGAAAGGCTCATTGCTGTGTGATCGTTCGCGTGCGTGTATGTAGCCTGCTCGTTTCTTCGGTCTTCCGGGTACCCCACCAGCCCAGATCACTTTTGACTGCGATTTGATGCAATCGTAAGTCATAACTCGCGGATGGCGCTGCGTTCTGGCTAATGTGTTAGCAATGTGCATTCTCTAACTGCAACCTGTAGGCGTGCTTCAGCATGTATGAAGTCTGAGGGCCGAAAAGACAGTCTGCCGCCGAAGAATGGAGTGTTTTTCTACGACAGCACTCAGGAGATTCACTGCGGAAAGACAGAGAAACAAGCAGACTGGGGAAGTGCGACTGAGACTTCGTCGTGGGACTCGGACAGTTCGCTTGACACAACTGAGCCCTGGGTAGCGCGGACATACGCGTGGGAGGACCTCGGTGATCGGGTGGGATTACCAGCGAGTTACTTGAGACCACCGGCTCGCAATGTGACATGGTCGCTACGCGACTTGGTGATTCCCAACAACTTTGCAGGCAAGAATGATGCTGGAGAAACACTGCTGGAAATCCACGAAGTAGACATGATTGAGGTGAGGTACGCAAGCCAAGTGAGGTGGTTAGGACGGTCGCTCACATCCTTTGGTCGTCTTGAAGGATTTGCTGCGAGCTTTGAGTGGCGTCGACTCGACAATTCTGCGTCGACACTTCGAGTCAGCAACATTCCGGTTGCCTGAAAAGCACAGACTGAAGCTCCGCAACGCAACCGTGTCGTCCACATTGTCGCTCATGGAGGTATGAACTGCCAGGAGCAAGGGGTCATGCGTGCTCATGTTATCGTTGACGCTGTATCCAGGTGTTTCGTAAAGCAGGCACTACGGTCATGCGGCTAGAACTGCTAGGCATTTATTATTCTCAAGATCCCGCGAGGGGAGGAAAAACGCTCCAGGCAATCGGGGATGCACTGCAGCTGTATCTGGCAACGCATCGGGTGAGCTGGTGTAGAGTCGCAAAGCTGTCGGTATTGTGCCCTGGTTTTTCTGATGTCCGACACTCTTGTTTGTGCTAGGCCTTAGTCGAAGGCATCGCACACGAATGTCTGGTTTCGTCTGAGATAGTATCAGTCGCGAAGCTTTTGAGCAAGACTAGCATGATGTGCCGCACCTTGGCGACCATCGGGCATGTATTTGGCTGCGACGATGACGTCTTCTGGCCGTTACTGCAACAAGGTTTGTGCTCGAATTGTCGATACCACGCGACGATCCATGGAGTTGTCGAACCTCATGCCTCCCAATATTCCTCAGGTACATTTCCTCGAGGGGTGGCGCTTCTCGACCATTTGCACCACCACGTGTCTTCCCTTCGTGTGGAAGACGCTACCGGACACATACACAATTTGGTGACATGGTTCCTCGTCAAAGCCTGTTCCCCGCTACTGGCTGTGCTTTCTGACCTCATCTCGTTAGGGAAGGTTGACCAAATGACGGATCCATTCGTACGTCCTCCGTGTTGTTACGTAGTCCGTGATAGAAGGTTGCATTTTGACAGTTGTTGTCTTGGTGAACTCGTCAGGACGAGTTCGACGTTACTACATGGAGCAGACTTCTGCTAGAAAAAGCCGCTGTGCAAGGAGGAGACGGACTGTTTAGTGACGAACTGACAAGCGAGGCTGTTCAGACACTACCGGCGTTTTTGAAGAATATTGCGCCCCTCGTTGTTCACCTTAGCCAGGTCCAGGCGCTTTTACGAAGCGTAAACGCCATTGCTTCTACCCACCCACTGGTAAGCTTCTCAGCCCGTGCTTTGTCTTCATTCTGGGCATGTGATCACTAACACGCTCTGCGTCAACTTGGGCAGGTAAACATGCAACCTCTGACCTTTTTCTTCGACAGCAACAAAGCTACTGAGCACGCAGAGAAGTGGCAATCAGCCATCAACGAAGCAGTGTCATTTCGAAAGGATGATGGTACCTTACATGCAGTCAGCACAGAAACTCGAAGGACGATGTCAGATGTAACGCGTGTTGCGGCGGAAGAATTGCTAGAGCAAAGCATTGATGTGGGTGTGTCGAGCAGATGCGTTCTTGTTAAGTGGGAATACTCACTGCTTCGTCCATGGTGTTTTACGCATAGATCCCAGAACAACGAAGTTCTCAGTTGCAGCAAACAAGCATGTCGGACGAGCAGATGTTGGAAGAGAAGCGACACCATTTTCGATCACCGCACGAGCTGAACGCCAATGATGCGAAGCAAGTCGGGAGTGTCGACGAAGCAGGTGCGAGTCAGGCGGTCCATGTTCATGCTGCTTGTCTTGATGGGTAAGTTGTTGTTGTTGGGCACCGTCGAACACAAATCGACCTTCCAGCGTATTGTTGTACTCGATATGTCGTATTGATGAATGGCGCGTGATTCATTGTGGATCGTAGTGATGCAGGGAACCGATCAGCGATCGATTGCACGGGTGCTGCGAGTGCGCGTGCTTCAGCCTTCAGTGGAGACGAAGACCGAATGTCTTTTGCAGCAATGGGATCCACTGATGGTGGTGTTTGGCGAGCTTCTGTGAAGCCGAATATGACACTGACAAGCTGCAGCACAAATTCAGCTATCGGTGGCGCCCCGAGAGAAAGCGTGTCGGTGGATGATGGAACTCATTGCGCAGCGGCAAATGATGTCAAGATGGTATTGAGCAATCTAGCAGTGGATGAAGCAGAAGATTCGATGGCGAAAGATCTGCTTCTAGAGGATACTGTTGGTGAAGGTGTTCAACAGCAAAATGCAATTGGCAGCAGGAAGAACGCTATGAGCCGGACAAGCGAGTTGGACGATAAACTCTTGCTGGATGCGAGTGAGTATGTGGCGACATTTGTTGCAAACGCTGCGCGACCGTCGCTTCCTCCGGTGCATCCGTTCTTTTCGGCCGCTATTCCCCGAGATGACCTCGAGGTGTTGATGCGTGCGTCAACTACGGTACGCGACGCCATGCGCGACGAGCTGCTTGCTAGATCCGCTTGATGCATTGGTTTGAGCTGATCTCATGTTATCCGTCCGACTTGCAGCAGGATACTCCTGAGGCTGACTTCACGTCGTTTTCGTCGATTGTCAGCTGTTGCGTTGAAACGCCCGTCCGTCTGGTTGCCCACAAGCTGGAGCAAGTGGCAGTCGATTGGTTTCGCGATTCGTTGCAGGTGCTTGAGCATCTTCGTTGGCTACGTAAGTTGATGCTCATGGCAGAAGGCCTTTGCATGGATATCTTCGCACGCGATTTCCTTCTCGGTTTGAGCCCAGCGCGTCGCGTGGACTGGGGGGTCGAAGACCGTCTTTCATCGGCTCTCACTCTTGCCATGATTGAGGGCTGTGTGCCGACGGACGCCATGGCCCAGAACTTTCATTACAAATCCACTCCACTTCTGTCCCAATGTAAGCAAGCACCCGACATGATCTGTAAAACCGGATTGCCGCCTGCAGTTTATGGCTTTCTTACCGTTGTGACTGTGTGTTGGATGCAGTCCTGAGCAGTCTGACAATGACTCCTGCTGTGGCCAGTTTGGTCGGTGAGATCGAGCTGATCTACGATGTCAGCTGGCCGCTAGGTCTCGTGATCACCGCCCGCTCGCTGAGTGACTACAAGCAAGTGCACCAGTTCCTTCTTCACCTGAGACTGACGTCCTTGGAACTGAAAGAAGCGTGGAGGATCCTGCGCTCCATCCGCCAGCAGGGACAGCTGCCATCAGCACTCGAGCGGCTCTGCAGCAATGCAGTGTACAGAATGCAGGCTTTTCTCCGGGCATTTCACGAGGCTTTTGCGACAAAGGTTGGTGCATGCCTCGACGCTGTAGCTGTGCTGCTCAAGTTGCTTACACTGTGCGGTGGTGACCCGTCATCACTGTGTGCAGGCAATCACGGTGGCATGGGCAGAGCTCGAGCGACTGTCACAGAAGGCAACAACCCTGGTCGACCTCCGCCGCTGTCATGAAGAATATGTATCCGTTGCACGTTACTGCTGTTTCCTGGACGCGCCTGTCGTAGAGGTACGTGAGGTTCTGCCATGCCGAATCCACTCCGCTGACGTTACCGGACGTGTGCGACAGATCCGCTCGGCAATATCTGCCGCGCTTGCAGCAGCCTGGAAGTTGACAGCGTTCCTGCGTGGTTTGGAGCGACAAACGTCAGGAAGAGTCGCAGTGGAGACGCCCACGCGCGCATTGTGCGATGCACTTGACACCACTCTTGACGCTTTGGTCGGTGGACTACGCAGCGTCAGTCGACATGCGGAACAGAACACCCGAGAGTTTTCAGATGTACGTGCGTTGTTCCCCCTTGCTATAAGAAGTACTGGTCCAATGCCTGGGGTCGCGTTGAACAAAAAGGTAAATAATGGATCGGCTATCGCTCTAATGTGCTGATACCTGCGCTCTGTCGTGCTGCGCCACAGTGCCTTCTACTCCGGCTCGACTTCAACCAGTATTACTCCACAGACACCCCTGTCATCAACAGTAGCAGCAGCAGCGCCGGCCAAGCAGACGCCCACAGAAGCTGAGACGACAGTAGTCGCCGCAGCTGTAGTACCGAGCACGCTGACGCACATCAACACGAAACGCGTCTAGCACACGTTTGTCACAGATACCCGGTATTAAAAAAACAGTGGGTGCGTGTCCTTGAGATGCAGACGACGCTGGCACAAGGGGCACTTGCCGTTCGCGCGGATCGCTTGGCAAATGCAGCCCGCGCAAAAGATGTGGCCACAGACCGTGGACGTGATATCTTCCAGCACGTCGAGACAGATGGCGCACTTGAGCAGATGCTTGAACTTCTCCACTGCTTCGTTGTTCTGCATGCCAATGTTGGTGCACTCGGCGCTCCGCATCATCGTCGTCAGGCATGGACGCTTACGTCCTTTGCTGACAGCCCCTTGGCAAGTCGTTGCGCCTGGTCGACGTCGCTTCCGACGTGGCTGAGACGCGCCCATCGTCATGGACGACAAGGGGCTGTGGATCTCAATCACGTCGTCCGTCTCGCCTGCATTCGGCTCTCCTCCCTCGTCTTCCGACGACGAGACCGTGAGGTCAATCTCTTCCAGCGGCCGCGTCCGGTCCCCCGTCACGTCCAGACCGTCGCGGAACGGCATCAGGTGCGGCAGGACAAAGTGCTCGCGTGTCTCACACTCCTCGTCGTCGTCGTTGTCGTCGTCGTCGGGGACCGGCAGGTCCGTGGAGCTGCTCGGCAGCGGGTTCGACCCCGTTCGTCGATTCCGATTGGCGCGTGCACTCGTGTTGCGGCTGGGGGTCGGCGCCAGGCTCTCCAGCGACGCGCCAAACACGTGCGAGGCCAAAAACGTGCGGGGGAGAGTCATAAAGTGGTTCAGCGGGGGGAGCGTCCAGCCGCCAGAGCCTGGAGGCGGCGAGGAGAGGCCGCTGGCGGACGGCCGCAGGCGACTGCGGCTGCCGATGCTGTGGCCGATCGCGGGCGACGGCTGAGCGGGTGCGGCCGATGATCGAGTCAGAGGGGCCGCGACCACGTCCGGTCGTCGCATCTTATTCAACAATGGGCTCGTCTGGCTGCTGGAGGGAGGAGAACGAGGGCTCATTGGCTGAAATCAGCTGCCGGCAAGCGCATGCAGCTGATTGGCAGATAGTCGCCCCCACCGAGCGACGTTGGCGAGGCCGTCGAGCATGGCAGCTGCCCCGCACGCACTCGTGCTCCAGGGCTATTTACACAAGCAGGTAGGCCGCGTGTTCTGTCTTTTGGTCCCCTGCGTCTTCGTGCTCGTCTGTGCTAACGACTGTTGTTGGTTGCGCTGCTGTAATGGGTGGTGGTGCAGAGCAAGCACCTGAAACTCTGGCGCATTCGCTACTTTATGGTCACAAAGGCGAGGAACGCGACCCGTTTTGTTTATTTGTTTGTCGTTTCTCGACGTGCTAATGACTGTCGATTGGCTGTACCCTTTGCTCCATGTCAAGAGCTGACGTTGCTGCTGCTGTTGTGTGTGTGTGTTTGTGTTTCTTTGGACTGGCAGAACGAAATCACGTACTCTACAAAGTCGGGTCGTAAGCCGCGACTGCTGCTATCTCTAGGGCGCGTGCAAGTGGTGCGTCTTGCGTTTATCTGGACACCGTGAGCAGTCGCTGTTATCATTGCTACTATACGGAGCTAGCGGTGGTCGAAAGCCTGACTTGTCTGCGGTCCGTGACAGATTGACGACCAGAACCGCGTGCGTCATGCTGGCAACTTTGTCTTTGTGCTGCAGACGTCGACAAGGAGACTGTTCTTGAGTGCAACGACGGAGCAGGAGCGGCGACACTGGGTCACGGAGATCCGTCGCCTGCTGTCGAGAGATATCGACGGCACCGATCGACTAGTTGAAGAATCGACTGTCGTTGGGTGGAATCCGTCTGGTGCAGCAAAGAAAGCCTCGCTTTTGGCAGCAAATAGCATGTCAAGTCGCTGGATTAGGTCACACAAACGCGCGTCAAAAGAGCGGCGAGCAGAGAGGCGACGCCAGCAGCTACCGAAACTGAAACGGACGTACACTGAAGTATGGCTGGACGAGATATTCACGTTGCCAAGCGGTGGCGCGCACGACGACACGCCGCTGCTTCATGCTCTGTGCTTTGCAGGCATTCCGAAGGAGCTACGTGGGCGTGCTTGGGCCTGGATCCTTGGTAACACACTACAAGTCAATGAAGACCTGTTCAAGCTCTGCAAGGCTCGAGCCCAGGCCGTGCTGATGGAAATGTCGCTGAAGCGTGACGTGGATCATTCTATGATCGAGACACCAACGGTGAGCCCAGACGATGCAAGTATCATTCTCGAGTCGCCGGCAAGAAGTGGTTCTAGCGTGAGCAGTGCTTCGTCTGCCTCCGGTACCACCGTGGAAGACGTGGAAGCGTCACTAGTCATGGAAGACTCTGAGACGTCTCAGGCCACCAACGTCTCGATTTCGGCTGCACGAGCTCCGTCAATTGCGCTATACCCGCTGTTGGATGACGTCAGCGACCGGAAACGAGCTCGGCGATCGTCTGCCGTGCTTCCTGTGCAGAATATGCTGCAGGATGCGGTGGGCATTGCAGAGATGCTTGTCGCACACGGTGAGCGTAGCATCAAGCTGGTCAATGTTGACATGCCACGCACATTCGGCCACCATCCGCTATTTCAGCCCGGCGCTGAGGGTACCGAGCGCACGACTGAAGTGCTGGAAGCGTACATTTGCTACCGACCTGACTTGGGGTACGTGCAGGGCATGAGCTACTTGGCGGCCACTCTTTGCTTTCATATGGACAGCTTCACTGCTTTCAAGGCGTTGGTAGCCTTGATGAGTACAAGTTTGCTGTTCGATATGTTTCGTCTCGAAGCAACGCGGGTACGCGACGTGACGTGATGTGCCGCGCATGTGAATGAATGAGGGTGTACTGAATGCGGCAGGACTGACGACGCTGTTTTGGCGGTCGGTGTTTATTGCTAGACGTTCCATTACATCGACGTGTACAACCAGATTTTGCAGCACGAATTGCCAGACCTGGCAGCACATTTCCAAGAAACCGGTATCGACGCACAAATGTATGCTGTGGACTGGTACGTGGCCGTCGTCAGTGTCGTATCGAACGTGGCATTGCAGCCAGCGAGTTTACAGTGACATCTCGTTGTTGCGTGAAAAAGGGCGCTGACATTATTTACCCGGAGCTTACCACTGGACCTCGCGTTGCGTATCTGGGATGTCTACGTACTTTTGGGGTCGCCGTTTTTTTTTCAGGCCAGCATGGGTAAGCTCTTTCGCGCGTGCGCTTTCGAGCTTCGTGTGTGTAACGTATCTGCGCGTTGCTCTTCTGCAGGTCTGTTGTCGCTATTCCAGGACTCGCTGTTAGCAATGGAAGCACAAGACATGATGCGGCTGCTGCACAACTTTCCGAAGACCACGTCATCGCAGGAGCTGTTCGAAGCCATTTCGTCGGTGAGTCTGTCGTGTCAAGAAATCACCAAGTTGTTGGCCGGCGGGACGCTCTGGTCGCCCGACGAGGTTCGGCAAGTGCCTGTCAAGTATCCCGATGCGTATGACTAGAATAAGTCGCTCAACGAGGTTTGGCAAGTGCCCGTCAAGTATCCCGATACGCATGCCTAGACTAAGTTAATGTAAACAAGAGCTCGAATGTGTCTCCAGGACAGTGTGTATCTGTAGGTCTTTCTTTGCCTCTCTAAAACCAAACCCATCAACGGCTTTTGTCAACGGCTTTTGTCAACGGCTTTTGCCAACGACTTGTGCTGCTCTTCGTCGGTCCCATTCGTTGGTTCCTTGCACCCCGTGCCAGCCGCTATTCGCCGTTTAAACGTATTAACACCCGCGTTTTCGCTGTTTTCCCATGATGTACACATCCTCGCACCATACGATCGATACCTCTTTCGTCTGGCACTTTGTGTCTCCCCATTGAATTTCAGGCCAGCAACCAGTCAGTCAGCCTCGCCTGTCAAACGTGCGCCACCTTCCCAGACCCCTTCGGACGACCATGGCGACGAAACGCGGCAGCAACCCGAGCGTGTTCGCAGCTTTCAACCAGCTGCGCGTAGCTGGGGACGTGGATTCGGACGACGGCAGTGCCGAGGAGCGGCAGCAGGAGCGCAAGGAGAAGCAGAAGCAGAAGAAAAAGTCGCGCTCAAAGAAGAAAAACAGGCACGTGGAGGGGATGCAGAGAGGTCCCATTGTTGCTGTGACTAGTGTCGCTGCAGCCTTTGCTAGTGGGGCTATAGCTGCGGCTGTTGCTAGTGGTGCTATTGATTTTGTTGGTTGAGTGAGTGTGCTGACTGACGAGTGTTTGTTTGTGTGGACTGCAGCGACTCGGCGCAGCTCAAGGACTTGGCGTTCGTGTCGGTGTCAAAGCCCAAGAAGGGCAAGAAGACGGTACCGACATCAACGCCGTCGCGGTCTCAGTCGCCTACGAATTTGCCAGTGGACGAGAAACAGACTCCAAGTGGTGACAGTGACACGAAGAAGCAAGAGAAAGAGGTTCTTCGGCCGCAGAAACAGGTGGCCCAGGTGATATACGGCTATACCTTACGGCGGTGGTAGAGTACCGGACGGTGAAAGAGGCTGACGGGTTGACTTGTGCCTCGTTCCGGTGCCTTTTTTTGCCAGGCTCGTGCAGTGCCGAATGGTACAACGAAGAAGAAATCGCCGTCCGTATCGCAGCAGCAACAACAGCATCTGAAGACAAAGGTGGGCTTGTTGAGCTTGGACAGGGAGGTGGGAGCAGGACCTCATGACGTGTTTTTGTGGTCAATGTACGCACTGTAGACTGCGTCGCTTCGGGACCAACAACCGCAGCCTCAGGCTCTGCAGCAAGCACCGCCTGCAGCACCTGCTGTTGTCTCGCCAATAGCATGCACTCCTCAGTCTTCGTCCGAGATGGAGCTGGGCGCCGTGTACACACCGTCGCACATCACGATCACGCGCGTGGACGGCCAGATGAAGCGCACAGTGGCGGTGACGGAGGTGATGGACCAGCTCCTTCGCTACACGCAGCAGAACTCACAGCTTCTGATAGTGCAAGAGCAGCTGGGCGTACGTTGTAGCTGGATGTTATTGCGATCGACGACGACTTGTAACCGATTTTCTGACATGCTGTGTCGTATGTGTCACTGCGGCTGGTTTCGCGACGACCCGAGCAGCATGCGAACCGTGGCCTGCAGGACCAGTTGCAACGACGCGACGGTATGTGTTTCCGTCTTGGCGCAACTCGGCGTGTGGTCGATCGCGTGCAATGAGTTGCCACCAGATGGCTGACGGGCGTTTTTACTGATTGACGCATGTGTGGCTTGCAACTTTTTGTGTTGACGCCACCACCACCAGAGATTATCACGGGTCTGCAGCACGAAGTGACAATGTTCCGACAGATGTGCCTGAACTTGCAAGCCGAGGTGAGTCGCGTCTCAATCGTTTGCGTGTACTCATGACGGCGCTCGTCGGCCAAGCTTGCCAGCTTTGTGTAGTTTATGCACAGCAGTTGAGGGCAAGTCGTGACGTGCACCGAACCATGTGTGGCTCACTCCTCTGCTGTCCATCTGTGTCAGGTATCGCTGCTTCGCTCCATTGCCGCGCCAAGTAGCGGCAGCTCGGCCCTCCCGCAGCAGCATCGTCCTCCGCCGGGCATGTCTTGAGCTTGTCGAAGACTAGATCAAGTGTAGCAACTAGACGGGTGGGTGCAAACCAGAGAGAGCCGCGAGGTGACTGGCCGACCGAACGCCCGTACGCGCAATAGAAGTCCCGTTAGTGGTCCGACGCTCTGTTCCGACTTCGTGTACGTTCAGTCGCACGGTGGTGTTTACGTCCCACGTCCACGACGACCACGACGACCACCACCACCACGATGACGACCATTGAAGCTGCAAAAACGACACGTACATGTCAAGAGAATTCACCCGACAGTCGGTAGCTAATGGTCTGTCGACGGCGACCAAACTTTCGGTCGAAGCAGCTGGCACACGGCCTTTAGCGCCTTCGTGGCCAATCCCTTTGCGTGCGATTGACGCTCGAGCGGTTTCCACGCACACTGCTGCATCACCGGTGGAAAAAAAACTGTGGCCCACTTCTGCTGCCGACAAGCGCCAGCCCGGTGGCCCACTTGCTGAAGCTGAAGTAGTTGACAATGCAACGGCACGGTTCAGTCCGATCCCGACGCCATGTACTCGTGGGCAAAGGTCGTCTCGATGGTGTTGCACACGAACCTACGTCAGCCTCTCGCGACTATCCGTCGGCCATCTGTCCTCGAAACCGTCAAAGTATATGCCAACGTCTGGTAGCTCTCGCTGGTCACCGTCTCCTTGCGCTCTCCGTCTTCCTCCATCTTCCTCCATCTCTCTCTCTCTCGCTCGCTCGCTCGCCTTCATTCATCCATCCTCTCTCTCTCTCTCTCGCTCCGTGTCTTGTCATTTGCTCTTTCACTGTCCTTGTGACAAGCTCGAGACGTGCGTTCTCCAGCCTCTTCCATCTTGTCCACGTACTGCATCTCGTCCTCGATCCCACCTTCGCCGCTCTTCCCCCATCATGGTCGGCACGATGCACCGCCTGAAGAACAAGCTGCGGCTGCACAAGAAGGACGGGACGTGGGACCTCGACGAAGACTCGATGCGTCTCAAGCAGCACGCCGACAACGCCGTGCGGCTCGACCGCAGCGGCACACTGACCGACACGATCAACGAGACGGACGACGTGGACGAGATGTTCTACGGCACGCAGTACCGGTCGACGACCAACGCCCCGCAGCACCGCTCGACCGACAAGTACTTGACGCTCACGTCGCTGAACGAAGACGCCGAGACGCCGTCCGGGGCCAGCGACGCCAGCAGCAGCTTCTCGCAGTTCAGCGACCACGCGGCGTCGATCTCGAGCCTCAACTTGACCAGCACGTACCTCGGCCTGTCCGCGACGCCAATGACGACGACCACCACGAGCCTCCACAACACACGTAGTGGTGCTGCTATTGCTGCTGCTGGCAAAGCTTCCGAGCTCGAGCAGCTCCGGGCCGAACTGGTGGACGTCAAGCAGGAGGTCGCCGCGATTCGAGAGCACGTCGTGAACGAGCTGCACGTGACCCGCTACGACGTGCTCAAGGAACTGGCGCTGCTCAAGGGCGCGATCGCCCAGTTGGCGACCGCACCCCCCGTGGCCATGAAGCGCTCGGTGTCGAACCCGCTGTCCCGTGCCGACCGCGTGGCGCTCACGCGGCAGACGTCGACGATCACGTCGTCGGCCACGCGCGACCGACTGGCGGCGTCCCGCGCGCCCGTGCAAAAGGTGCTGCCGCCCGCAGCCCGTGCGAGCGTCCGCTTGACGCAGTTGGCTCCGGTCGCCGACGGTGCGCTGTCGACGCCACTGAGCGCCGCGCAGATCAACGACATGTTCCCCCTCATTGGCTTCACGACAGAGCTGGCGGGACACGCGCGCAGACTGACGCCCGGCTCGCGGACGTGGGCGCTCAATCGCGTCGACGAGTGGCTCGAGTCGCGGTTCACGGCCGGCACGGACGGCCTGTTGGCGGTCGTGGGCGACGGCGGTAGCGGGAAAAGCGCCTTCTGCGGCACGGTCGCCCAGCTCTACCGCGGCCGTCTCGTGGCCGCGCACTGCTGCCACTTCGACCGCAAGGGCAAGAGCAGTCCGCGCAACGTGCTGCTGTCCGTCGTGCATCAGCTCGTGGACAACGTGCCGCTGTTCAAGAACCAACTCGCGCGGCTGAATTTGAAGTACGTGCTGGAGGAAGCCGACCCGGCGCTGCTTGCGGCCAAAGTGCTTGTCGAGCCCCTGAATGCGCTGGAGGAGCCCGTGGACGCTGCGTTCATCCTCGTGGACGGCATGGACCAGTGCGACGTGGGACCGCACGGTCGCAACGAACTGCTCGAGTTGCTCGCCGAGCTCCTGCCGCAACTGCCGTCGTGGCTCGGTGTCATGGTCTCGTCCAAGCCGTCGTCCAAGCTCGCGAAGCGCCTGCCCGTGTCCTCGGTGCTGGATTTCAGTGCCAAGAACGACGCGTTCGTAGCCGACGTGTCGTCGCTCGTGGACGACATTGCCTGCAACTTCAGTGCCGAAGACGTGGACGAAGCCACGCGCGTGCTCACGCAGAAGAGTGGCGGGAACTTTGCGTACCTGGAGTTCACCAAGCAGGCGTTGTCGGGTATGGCAGGCGCCGTGACCCTCGACGTGCTCCGTGAGTTACCCGAGACGCTGTACGACATTTACGCCGAGATCTTTGACGACAAGTTTGGGCCCGGCCGCGCCCGTGTGTGGAGCAAAGCTCAGCCGGTCCTGCAGCTTGCGATCGGAGCAACGGCAGGACCGTACTCGCCCGTGACGGAAGAGCAAGCCCAAGAGCACTGTCAATTAACGGCAGAAGACCTGCGGATGCTACGGCGGTCGTTTGTCGACCTCGTGGCCGTCAAGCACGGCGCCTATCGCATCGAGAGCTCGGCGTTGTGTGCCTGGTTGTGCGACCCTGCTCGATCCGAAGAGCAGTTCTACTTTAATATTGACGACGCGCTCCAGGCGCTGCGCAAGATGCGTCGTGCTAGTGCTGGGGGTGCTCGAGCTGGCCGCGTGACCTCAAGCAGCTCGTCGGACGGCAGTGCGCCGTCTAGTCGAGCGCAGCCGTCGGCGCGATCGCGCTCGCCTTTAAAGCTGCAGACCGAGTCGGACTTCCAGCCTGTGAGCATTCTCAAGCACGGCCGATTGTAAACTAAAGCGTAATAAGGTATTGTTTGTTTGTCGCATTGGTTCGTTTCCTCGTGCGTTCACTCGCGCGTTGTTTTTTTTTGAGGCATCTCGTGGACCCACTGACTGCTATGAAGTTCCTGTCAGTGTTTGCGCTCACTTGTCGTTTGCGTTCGAGCGCTACATGTCATCAGACCATTCGGAGGATATGCAGATTGACGCATTCAACCAGCCAGAGCGTCAGCTGCTGTTTTTGGCTCGATCATTGACACTTGTGCAGTGCGTGGGGTATCCGCGATCATGCCCAACTCCCTTGTGCTTCCTTCATTGTCGTTCACCGTTATGGTATCTCGATTTCCTCATGCGCCGAAAAGCAATACGAGTAGTTCTTATGAGCGCACGCCACTACGGCAGAAAGCAGTTGTTGTGCCGTCAATCCTGATCAGCGTGTGACACTCAAACATGCGGGTGGTGTAGTGGTCGAGCGGCTGTCTTGGTAGCTGCCATGATGCCATGAACAAAAGCATGCAATGAAATGATTGCCCGAGGCCCGGATACGTGTGTTGCAGCTTAGCGCCTCTGGGTTTTCTGCGGCAGTAAGGAGCGACTGCTACAACTGTGACTCCAGCTCAGACTCGCCAGCGTACGCTCCTCTATCGACGACGCTCACCGGGTCAGAGGGTCAAGCAGATGCTTGAAGAGTTGGTTGCACCACAAACAAACCCACTCACCGAGGGGACACCGCAAGGGGCAAAGATGACTCAGCGGCGCACTGGTGCAAGTCGCCACTCGTGGGAGGAGAACGCGTTTGCGCTATTGTACTACGACATCTTTTCGAAACGACAGCCAGGGACCGATATCATGCCGGAAGCCGCTCAGCAGCTCAGGACCGCCCTCACGCGTAGGGCAAACCCATGAATTCGCGATCAAGGCGCACATGCGATCTTGCAGCAAAAGATCATCTTGTGTCTCCATGAAACTGATGTTCTTATTGCCGCGCGCAAGCGATTGATGTTCTGCGCTCTGTACGTCCACCTACAAGTGCTGCGCACTTCTGAGTATCAATGTTCGGATGTGCTGCATGTAATTCAGCCAGGTACTACTCACCCTCTTGTCGTATCAGCCCCATGTTGCGAAGTTGCAGCGTGGTCATGACTACACACCAATAATGTATTTGCAGTGGATGTGAACACCTCCAACAATGTCCCTCGTGCCTCCTCATTCTTTCGCTTACAATCGTTGCCATGCGCCTTTCAAAGCGATTGCCGGCATTCATTGCAGATCCATGCATCGACGTAATTTGAAACCCTGCAATACAACGGGTGGTTGCAAGGAAGATTCGGTCTTTATTCTGTCGGACTTTTGGAGTGGGTCTCGAGATGGCGTCTCCTGTCTGGTCTTGTCGGCGATCTTTCTCTCTCTGTAGCTTGTTCGAGCTACACTAGATGCTCTGTAGTCACCACACAACTCCATGTGGTTATTGTTGGGTGGGTTTCGAGAACGAAGGCGCGTGATTTCTTAGCAAACCTTTTTTGCTCTCTATTCAACAACAAGCTAGTTTGTACTGTTTTGCGTACGCACTGCCGAGCAAGTCAACCTCTGCCAAGCGGTGAGCCTTTTTGTGGATATACGAAGAGCAGCTCGAAGTCCGGGTTTTGGTCGCGAACTGCCTGGTCGCGGGGTCCAGAAGTTCCAAGTCGCTTGTCGGTCATCATAAACACAATGGCTGCTCGGTACCGTTGCCATGTCTGCAGCGATTTTGAAGCGGAATTGTTCTCGAGCGTCGTTGGTATCGTGTAGTTGTAACGCGAATGTGGATAGTAGCTTTGACGTTAGTGTGCGAAGACGACTGGAACCACGCGACATATGTCATTGTCGCAGAGGTAAAGCTTTCTGCTGAGCTGTGTGGATCCGACGGCCAGAAAGGAGGATATATGTGGTGCAAAGCCCTAAACGAAGTCAGACGTATTCACGAGGCGTCCATTGTGATCTTCTGCAATCATCGGGTACGTAGCTGCTGCAATCTCAGTAACCGTTAGAGGTCTGCGAACCCAAGGTGGGGCTCAACAACTTCAGCGTTTGTCCGAGCACAGCACCAGTCGATCAGTAGATTCGTGCGAACAGAGGTTCATGCGCTTCACGCACCGCATTGCGTTCTCACTGGACGCAGACGCAGTAACGCACTAGACAATGCTCTGAAATGCCACTGAGTGCAGTTCGTTCTTGATGCGACTTCCACAGCAAATAGAGCAAACGCATGCGCAGGGAGGAAAAACTGCGCCATGCACGCGAGCTGTCGTCCACTCTAGCGAGGAAGAAGGCCAGTTGTAATGATGGAACATCATAAAAATGTCAAGGCTTTACACGATGGGTGAGAAATGCGTAGGCTTTATAGTTGCGCTTCGCTTACTTGCTTCACCACACTCTCGGAAACGGTTTCGACCACGGAAAGTCCCTGCACGTCAGTGGATTGCATCGTAGTGCGACCACATAGGCTGTGCTAGCCTGTACTTTGATGGTTGTAGGACATTGTGGTATTGTTGCTCTTGACAGTTTTCCAACACTTGATGTTACTGTGACTTGATTTCGTTTCCACAACGTGTGTAGAATAAAACTATCGTAAACGAGGTCGCACGGATTCATCACTCAGACACCACGTGCAACAACAATGCAATCTACTTCATTACCGTCTTCTCAACAAATGGCTGCACGAGCTAAGATAATAGTGATACAAGGCGGATGGCAGTGTGCGAGTCTCAAGCCTCATCGTAGTGGTTGTCAGCATTGCGGTCGTTGTAATAGCTGTATGTACATACAAACAAACTTCACTTCACTGCTGCTTTCGCATTGTTGTCAAAGCCTCTTCGATTGTCACGCCATGTAATATCAGTTACCCTTCGTTGACGGCAACGTGTTTTAGACACGCCCAAGCTAGCGCTACTCTTTCAGACGGTTCCACAGTTTGCATCAGGCTCACATGTCACGTTTACTTCTGCAAGACAAGACAACTCATCCTCGTTCTTTCTCGCGTCATGCCGTGTAATCACATCCTCCGTCTCCTCGCAGTCACTACTAGCTAAGCGAATAGCTCATTCAATCACCTCCACGTGGACTCGTACTCCCTCGCATCACTGAGCCCGATGTGACCAACAGTCGTCACTATCTCCAAGACACTGACTAAATCCGCAACGTCCGAGTCGATGTGTCGGGGACAAACGTAGACAAGTGTTGCTGTCAGTGGATATCACGTTTATTCGCTTCTATAGGGATTATTGACCTAGGCTTGTCCCAGCAGTCTGTTTGCTGCACACGTGCGGTGAGACCACGACTCCTATTTTCATCAGGTGTCCTCAGAGCTTTACTACCCTATAATGTCGGGCCGACACTAATTGTGCTGAACATACGACAATACATACAAAGCTTCCGGGTGCAAGTCGAGTCAAGCGGTCTGAGCTCAATGACAAGTTGCTTCGTCGCCAGGCGGCCGCATTGGCACATCGTGCTGCACCGTGCTTACGTATACGCGATCAGAGACTATAGGACAAGTCGTTCTCGACAAGAAATACGTCGGTGCATGTGACACCCCTGGAAATGCCAGCTATAGCTGGGATACTGCTACGCACATGCTACGACATCACCAGAGATATGTCAGTATTGACATAGCCGCATGTGGAGGGACTCTACCGACCGAGGACTACACTGGTAGCTGTTGAAGCCCAAGAATGTAAACGAGAGTGCAGCACTGCCCAGTTCGACTACCACTTACTGACGAGACAACATTATAAATACCGTTTCGTAGCTTCCCAAACAGTTACTGCCCAATATCCCGCTTGACTATCTAGTTCATCTGATTGTTGCTGGCCTTCTCTTAATTCTCGTAAAACTATTTGCTACTCAGATAACAGTAACGCCTATCAATCAGACAACTGCATGGATATCAAAACCTGCCAAAGCACTCTTTCATCATTGATCCACAAATGAGAGCACTTGCTGAAATGCCTCTTCAACGTACTCTCTCGATGCAGTTCAACGTCCAATTGACCGGTATATCATCCATTCAACTATTGCATTTGAAAGAAATACATTACGAAAGCGACGCAAGCCTCTGCGCATTCACTGGCAAATATACAAGTGATGATGTGGTGATGAAGATTCTTCATTCTCCGTCCTACATCTCAAATAAACGTCTTGTTTGTCTTACTATTTGCCATTGTCAAAATAGAAAGGTAACCGCCTCTACGTAGACCGATCATCACCGAAGAGCGCTAATATGGTGATAAATTCGGCTCGTGGATGAGGATACACGACCAAGTGTTTGTGTTATTTCTTCAGACCTGAGTTTCCAACTGCTGCAGTACCTTTGAGCCTCGTAAATATGTACACGTCGAAACGCACACCGCTCTTTTCAAGCGATATTACATTTTGAAATGATAAGTGTCCACTTGGCCGGAAAGAAATGTTTCGTAGAGATCATTGAGCTCTATATTAATTGCGCACGTTCCATGCACGACGAAATGGTATTTGCATAGTGGTGGGGGACCCGCTGCAAAGTACCACATACTGCTAATGGAAAATGTGACACATGAGAATGACACTATAAGCGTTTTGGCGCAGCTGGCACATCATTTTTACGCCTACGAATTAGCTATTTCAGAAGCTTAAAATGATGTCTAGAATTTTATTTGCTATGTAGTGGTTGATGAACGTGGATCCTGTACCATCATATCAGAGCGTTTTGACTGTTCAAGCCCAGCAGCGCAGCTTTCAGTGACGCACCTGCATCGGGTGAGACACTGCCGAAAGAACCTTTACACTTCGCGTGGATAGTACTACAATCGAGCCAGAGCTTGAACCACATCGATTCGAGCACCAACTTAATAAACTAACGTTCCAGTTCGGACTCTCGAGCAACACAAGCCAAGCGACGAAAGCCGGTCAACCGTCACCCTTTCCTGGGCGAAAGTGCTTTGTAGTTGAGGCCATGATGGTAAATGGCAGAAGGTCTTCTCCCCGCTGCGTGCGAC